TATCAATGAATAAATACAGCAATAACCGCACCCCACGTGGCGTCTGATTTATATTTTGTTCTGTAGCTACGTTTTCTGCCTAATAGATATGTATTTCCAATATGCATATGCTTATAGTTAGTATGCTTTCAACGTACCATACTTCGAAACCCAAAAACGAACACGAATCGAAAAATTAAAAGCCTCAATGCGGCCAATTTCGCACTCGACCCAGCTGAAACAAGGGATTTTTGCAGAGAACGGATGTGCTTTCTTCATATGCAACGAACCATTTAGCTGGACGACGTAAAAATGCAGGGCACAATGGATTAATGAGCAAATATTTGGAAGTTTCCACTCATTGTATATATGCTCATTTGGTGGAGTGTGCTGATATTTTGCTGAGTGAGTCATCGGCGTCAAAGGTGAACGGGTCTCCTTGTCCAATAACTATGCAACTAACGCATTTTCAAAATAGATTCAGACATCCGGTCTATCATATCAAAAAAAAAGCAAAACTGATATTGGCGGTACAATGTAAACTTTGATGCGTCCTTTGTAATCTTGTGTGTTGAATTGTTCTATTCGGTGAATAACACTTTTTTTACACGGATCGTCACTATCTTGGGATGCTAGAGGGCGCAATAAATGTTCTCACGGGGTTTCAACTTTTACACCAATTGCAAACCTTTATTACAGAAAGTCTTACTAATTAATATTGACGGAAAACTTATTCTTTTTAAGGGAGTCAATATTTAGTGGGAAATAATAACTCAGCCTAAATCGGAAGTGGGAAATTAAGATAAAAAGGTTGGGAACCCCTGTTCTAAACCTTTATTTTAGAATTTATGCACATTCAGTCAATGCATTACACGAGCCTGCTTTTGGTAATTGTTCATGGAGTGGATCGAATTTGGTTTGGGGACACTACACTTCGTTCACTTATTCAATATTATTGCAATACTTCTATTTATACATGTATGCTCATATTGAAAACTATGTGAACTACAAAAAAAGGCGAAGTAGCCTACGTATAACTTCTTCAGTTTTATTGAATAGGGAGAAACGCTGGGGAACTTTAAAAGAACAAAAGGTTGATGAGAAAAAAAAACTATTTTGGGAACGTGCAATAAATCTCAAAACATTATAAGATTGCTTAAATTTCATAGTTTTATCAAATTGTTCTAAAATAAATTCATATTCGAAGGTGTTACAACGTAAGACGTGAAGCGTGCGGAAGTGAACGAGTTTGGATTATCTTTGAAAATGAACAAAACTCTTTTGCAAAAAGCATTACCGTTTATGAAATTATAAGTCTAATTTTGATTTTTTCAATGCATTCTCGAGAACCAACTTCTAAAGCCTGCATCAAATCAACACTTTTTTATTTTATGCACGGTGTTATTGTGTTAGTGGAACGTAGTTATAAAAACAAATAGTCCATCCTGTTACCTCATCTATTAACACTGGGACTTCACAAGTGCATGATTTTGTTAAAGTATATAGGTGTAAAGTTGTGGAATGATTTAAATCCATCAATCAATTTTATATTGGTCTCTCTGGTAAAAAACAAAACAACAACAAACAAAACGCAAGACTGCAAGAGGGTAACTTAAAGACAAAGGTAAAAACGTAAAAATACGCGCCCGTCCACCAAAAACAGTCAAATAACATAATAAAATAAAAATAAACGATACAGAATCGGGCGATAACTTCAAATAAATCGATTTATTTATGCAAACACTGATCAGAAGAAGAACAGGGTGTAGGGAATAGTAGTTAATTAGACCGTAGTAGGATATATTTACGATTAGACAACATTTTTTACAGTAAAGTCCGGGAAACTTTTTTCTAATAGACATAAACATTTCGGCGTAGAATATTTAATTGTCCCGTTAATAAAAATTGGCCCGTAGCTACAACCTAATTTGCCATCAGGCAATATTGAAATGCCTGTTTTTAATTGTTCCCGGACATCGATTTTAATAATATAATTCGGCTATGACGTTCATATAAATTACTTAACAAGAATTAATAATCTTTCACAAACGTATCCATGTCAAATTATCCCGTAGGGCAGAAATTACCGTTCACAAAGTGTATCAAAGTGAAAAATCTACTTTGACAACCAGCAGTGTTCATCCACTGTTTGGTCCAACAACTGAACTGACTACAATAAAGATATACAAACACTTGCTTGAGCAGTTGTATGTCATCTTTATTACCTAAAAGGGCAACACTTTATAAGAACTGGAAAAAGTGTTGTCCCGTACTGGTAGCCTACCGTATACAGGTATAAGATCGGGTTTAGTGTTGTGTCGCATCGCATCCATCCCAAGATTCATGCATTATAAGATAGGATTCCTATATTTATTTCGCCCGGGTGAGAGAAAAGTCGATGAGCGGCTTAATCATTTAGCGAACCACGACCTCTCGTCCGGTACCGGGTATTTTATTGATCAGCCAGTTATATTCGGAAGCATGGACTGGTGGAGACGCTGGGTGGAGGGAGCCATAAGTATCGTAACCGACTAGGACCATTCTACGGCGTCGAGGAGCCTTTCGCACATAGACTACCGTAACCATTCTGCCATTTGAGCATTGGATGCGAACTCGCGTCACGCATATATGAAAATGCCAAAGCACCTAGCCTACTTTGGTTTTTCTGATTTTTCTCTGATGCTTTTATTCTTAAGGCTAATTTTTTTCGTGCTACGAATGAAAAATTGCAGAATACTGGTAATTATTCGAAATTCCGCTCGAAGAATATTTGTACCGCTATCTTTGTACAGTACTGCAGTAAGGCACAGTTCGACGAAGACGCCAATTATAACAGTGAGTGCCAACCCCTCTTTTACAAATTTCTGGATTTAGGGTACCAGACAGTCCAGCAGTCTGGGCTTTCATATCGACAAACCGGGTCTAGTATAGTTTAGTACCACAAGTACTTCCAGTGGGCGTAGCATATTGATTTTTGCATATGTTATTCCTAACCCTCACCTGCAGACCTGACTATGCCATCCAAAAATTACGTCACTATGACGTCACCATCACGTCTTAGGGATTGCCAAAGTATAATTACGATCGCCCGAAATGGCATCTGCGCCGCCGATAAGAACTTGCTAATGCCGGCGATCTCTCTCCTATCGTGATCGTTGCGACGAGAAAACGAGAGAAATAGCTTGCTCGATTCCAGGTTATCGTCTGCGCGTTTTGTACGACCATCCGCATACTTCGGTGAGCCTTATTACGCCACTGTGACGTCGGAATGCGTAATTTTTCGGTGACGTAGTCAGGTGGGGTTAGGATTGACATATGCAAAAATTGTTGAGCCAGGCCAACTAAAAGTGGATGTGGTACTAAACTATACCAGACCCGACAAACCATCACTGCACAATGAACTAAAAGAAAGCGCGATCTGAAAATATCACCAAATAATCCGATTAACCAGAGTACAGGAGTAATTGGCTATTTTGGTCACATGACAGCCTAGATTATCAGCGAGACAAGCATGGCATGATCTGCCGCCGCGCCAGACCTCCTGGTTTCAGAGACAAATCTTCAATTCGGTTCGTGCCTGTGCGCTCCATAGCTTATACACCTCAGGGTTTATTACAAAATGCTGATTTATAAACATTGTGTAGTACTGTAGTCGGACTTGTTTGTTTTCATAATCACTTTACAATGTTATTTGCAAAATTTTTAGCAATTCAGAAAATTTGTTTTGTGACCAAAATTTGATTTTAGTGCGAAAGCTGAATAAATTTTATCAACCTATATGTGCCTCCACCTCCACCATCAAGTCCATCTTCGAAAATAAATACCTACCTGTAACTAATCCCATACCCGACATGGAATGGTAACTGGACGAGAGCCGTGGTCCGTCATATGATTAATTCATCTTTTCCGCTTTCCTCTCCCTTGGGATAAATATGTAAATCCTATCCCAGTACCGCACACTATCCAAATTCCAAGAATTTCCCTCCATCTGGTTCAAAAAAACAAACACTCCATGTGTCTCAAAAACGAGAACCGTCCGGTACCACGTCAGATGCGTCATATTACACCATGCTTGTATCAATAATAATCTAAATTAATCGCAGCCGTCCCGTGACCAGATTTGCAATTTTTTTCTAAAAACTCGAATGCTATATGATAAAAAAAAATGTCCTCTGGTAAATAGGTTTACTTTCTTCCGAGGAATTCAATGGTGGCGTTATTAGATAGATTAAATAAACATACATACATACATTGCGCTTTTTTGTACTTCATTATACTGTATTTTTACCGATATTGAGGGACGACAATGTCCAGTTGTCTCCCAAAGAAGTGGTGTCTGATCATCAGTAAAATGGGTTTCTCTGAAACGAGACAATGTCGCTCGATCTGTATAGTGTGCCGTACTGTATAGGCCTGTTTTACTACAACAAAGATTTTCTCTGTCCTTTTCTCTTTCATTATACTGTATTTTTACCGATATTGAGAGACAACAATGTCCAGACGTCTCCCAAAGAAGGGGTGTCTGATCATCAGTAAAATGGGTTTCTCTGAAACGAGACAATGTCGCTCGATCTGTATAGTGTGCCGTACTGTATAGGCCTGTTTTACTACAACAAAGATTTTCTCTTTTCTCTGTCATTCAATTTCTTTGATGGACAGTCTTAGTTACATTCATTGCGTATTGATTGCAGTTTTGATTGGATATTTGGTTCAATAAAACAGACGGCCCTATTTGTTGTGGGAATGAAGGCGTCTGGTTAGCGCGACAATAATACAAATCAAATGCGACCCGTCACAAACTCTCCCTTCTGTGTTTTCTTTTATTCTCAGATGCATGGACTTGATGATGGAGTAGACCGTAATCCACTGGCTGTTTCTTGAATTGCCCTATAGTGGCAAGGATTCGAAACTACTAACACACACAGGGTAATCAGAGAGAGGCAATGGCAAGCGTATTTCTAGCACGATGCATCCTACCACCAATCAATTATCAATCAATATATTTTTTTTTATCAACTCTGTTTTCCTCCAATATGTTACAGTTACAAATTGTAGTTAATTTGAAGAATGTTGACATTGTTGACAAAAACTCACAAAAATGGCCTGATCTCAACTATAGCTCTTTTAAAATGCTTCTCTCAATGTAACATCAGGACTGTTTCTGTAATGAAGAAGCCAATAATTATGAGGACGAATGATATACCAAAGCAGAAAATACTCAGTAGATGTAGTCCTGGCTTTGTTTCATGCTCCTGGTATTCATCATTACCTGGGGGAGATGATGATAGTTCCTCTGCTGGAGATGACATTTCATCAAATCCTGATAATGGAGATGGTTCGGATCAACCTGTAACTATTTTTTCTGGATCACCTCCCTCAGGTGCGCTAAGTACTACTACCATTCCCGACCGATTTCCCCATGTGCCATTACTGGCTGTGAACCGCAATCCTGTTTTTCCACGTTTTATAAAGATGATCGAAGTGAAAGATGTACGACTTGTTGAATTAATTCGAAGGAAAGTCAACCTCTCCATGCCCTATGCTGGTGTGTTTGTTAAAAAAAATGACAACAATGAAAATGAAGTTGTAGAGGACATATCTGAAGTTTATGATATTGGAACTTTTGTGCAGATACATGAGATGGTTGACATGGGAGATAAGCTACGAATGATAGTGATGGGACACAGAAGAATAAAACTCACTGGAGCGCTACTTTTAGAAAATGATGAGAACACAGAAATCGAAAACTTAAAACAATCTGAATGGGTTGAGGTGGAGAAAACACCTACAACTTCTGAAGAAATCCATGCAAAAATTCCCAATGTTACAGAGTCTGCTGTACTGATGGTTGAGACAGAGAATGTCCAAGCGGCCGACGTTGAAATAACCGAGGAAATCAAAGCACTTACCGCTGAAGTGGTAAAGACGATAAGAGATATCATTGCTTTAAACCCTCTATATCGTGAATCTGTAGCTCAAATTATACAGGCTGGGCAAAGGGTTGTTGACAATCCTGTTTATTTGAGTGATATGGGGGCTGCACTTAGTGGAGCAGAAACTTCCTGTTTACAAGATGTTCTAGAAGAGATGGATATTAGAGAAAGGCTTTACAAGTCGTTGTCATTGTTAAAAAAAGAATATGAAGTTAGCAAGCTTCAGCAAAGACTGGGTCGGGAAGTTGAGGAAAAGGTAAAGACGACGCATCGAAAGTACATGCTGCAAGAACAACTAAAAATAATAAAAAAAGAGCTAGGCCTTGAGAAAGATGACAAAGATGCAATTGAGGACAGGTTTCGTGGACGCTTAAAAGATCTTGTAGTTCCAAGCCATGTCATGGAAGTCATTGAAGAAGAAATCAACAAATTGGGGTTTTTAGACAATCATTCATCAGAATTCAATGTTACAAGAAACTACCTTGACTGGTTGACATCCCTGCCTTGGGGTAAGCCTAGTAAAGATAATATGGTTCTCCAAATAGCCTTGAATATTTTAGAAGAAGATCACTATGGAATGGATGATGTTAAAAAACGTATATTAGAGTTTATTGCCATCAGTCATTTACGAAAAAGCACACAGGGCAAAATTCTCTGTTTTTACGGACCCCCTGGTGTTGGTAAAACTAGCATTGCAAGATCTATAGCTCGTGCATTGGGCCGTGAATACTTCCGATTTAGTGTTGGTGGTATGACTGACATAGCAGAAATCAAAGGCCATAGACGGACTTACGTAGGTGCGATGCCTGGAAAGATTATACAATGCCTTAAAAAGACAAAGACCGAAAATCCGCTAATTTTGATTGATGAAGTAGACAAGATGGGCAGAGGATATCAAGGAGATCCCTCTTCAGCTCTTTTGGAACTTCTTGATCCAGAGCAAAATCAAAATTTTTTGGATCACTATCTAGATGTTCCAATAGATTTGTCGAAAGTTCTTTTCATATGCACTGCAAACGACCCGAGTCCAATTCCAGAGGCATTGAGAGACCGAATGGAAATGATAGAAGTTTCCGGTTATGTTGCCCAAGAAAAACTATCAATTGCTAAAAAGTATCTAGTACCTCAGACTGAAAATATGTGTGGTCTAAGCAAAGCAGAAACCCAAATTGAAGATACAGCGATTGAAGCCATTATAAAAAATTATTGCAGAGAAAGCGGAGTGAGGAACTTGCTTAAGCACATTGAGAAAATTTATCGAAAGGCTGCTTTGGATATTGTTAACAAGAAAGAGAAGCAAATTATTATCAAACCTGAGAACCTTGAAGGCTACATTGGAAAACCTTTATTTACTTCCGAACGTATGTATGACATCACACCTCCTGGAGTCATCATGGGTTTGGCATGGACATCGTTAGGTGGATCAAGCTTATTTGTAGAGTGTTGTGAAAAAAGGCCAAGAGATCCACCCGCAGCGGATGGAAAAGTTAGAGATTCGTCTTTTGAGCTCACTGGCAGACTGGGAGAAGTCATGAAAGAATCTGCTCGTATTGCCATAACTTTTGCAGGAAATTATATGCGAGAACGGGAACCGGGAAACCAATTTTTTAATGGATGTCATCTGCATATACATGTGCCTGAAGGAGCCACTCCGAAAGATGGTCCCAGTGCTGGATGCACTATAGTAAGTTCCCTGATTTCTCTTGCTAAAGGTACTTCAGTGAAAAATAATGTTGCTATGACTGGAGAAATATCACTGACAGGTAAGGTCTTGCCGGTCGGTGGTATAAAAGAAAAAACATTAGCTGCAAAGCGTGCCAGTGTCACATGCTTGATTCTCCCTTCAGAGAATAAAAAAGACTATACAGACCTTCCGAGTTTTATTACAGAAGGATTAAATACACATTTTGTCAGTCATTATAGTGAAATTTATGATATATTATTCCCTGTCGAATAAAATGTCGAAATTTTTCCTACTCCATTTTCCAACCAGACAAATTATGTGATTGTGATAATTATGTCAAATAGTGCAAATTAGATTAGTCTAATACCTTTCTGGGTTATAATTTGGCATCCATGAGAGAATTTTGACACTTTCGTCTCACAGGTTTGTGATATTTTGTAACAAAATATCATTTGAGACTGCAGTGACCGCAGCATGATAAGCTTCATACATCCTAGTCGATGTATTGAAGCGCTCAACGTTAAAACTGTTATGGAAACTCTCGAAAATAAGCAATGAGGTCCAGTCTTCAATATACATGTTCACGATACTCGCCCAACTTTTAAATATTTTGAATGAACTTACCATTGAATAATCAGTCTTTCCAACTTCTGTGTAATATCTTCAGTTTAACTGGACGCCAACAAGTATAATTATCTCAAACGCCATATACATCTTACAATATAAGTACATAATTAAAGGTTTTGTAGTGCCAAGGTTTTCTGATAGTACATCTTATCAAAAAGTACCAACCATATCTTTTCATTTATGGGGATAATCAGTTTATCTCTTGCAAACTAATTTAGAAATGACAAACCAAAAATTACAATTTATAAAAAAAAATGAGTATAATTTTAAACCCTTCGGAGATGCAACGGTAACGTCGGTAAACTATCTTTTTGTCAAGTTTTTTATTGATTTTTGTTTGGCGGATATTTTTTTTCATTTCCTGCAGAAAGACAAACACTAAAGTTAATGAGCTATCATCAGCTACAGGCGTTGAATGGGTGAATTTCCAATCCAAAATGTTTACTCGGATTCTCACCTTCAGTGTTGGCTTTGATCATCCGCATCACCGTTTGTAAATGAACCCTCCCCACCTGTAATAGAACAATATTGTCTTTATAGACTTTGGGATGTGAAAGCGATAGTTGACATTCTTTTGCTCTTATTTCTATCTGCGTCTGGATTATTTTAGCTTTAAACAAAAACTCCACAGTGGCTTTGTTGCTCATATCGGTACGGGAATATCTTGTCGCTAAATCCTTGGTGTTACATTCCCCAAAAAATTATTGACAAAATCGACAATAACGTCATTTCACATGGTCCCAAATTTTCATATATCACCTCTCTTCATGTTTCGAAACTTACAGAGCCTCAGAGCTTGACTGAGTGTTTATTTTTTTGATCGATTATTTTGATTATTAGTTTATAGCGTGTAATGCACGGGCTCGTTCGCTGAAAATAACGCACATAATAATATTTATAAAAAGACCTAATGAGAAGCTCGCCAGGCGTTTCATGTGACAGAAATGTGCGGCACACAAAAAATGTTAAAAAAATACGACAATAAAATTGATAGATTGACGATTTAAACGTGTTTCCGCCAAGTCGATGCATTTGGGAGAAAGAATGCGAAACGAACACTACAAAGAAACCGAGCAATCCAATTGTTACATATAATAATTAAGTTTAACCATTAGGAATAAGATGATTAAGGTTGTTTCCATAGATTCGAGATGGACAGGGACCATTCATTCTTTGCATTAAATGAAAAAACGGTAGTGCCGTTATCATGGGTGTCTCCATTGTTTTGATCGCTTATTTGTATTTCTCTTGAGAACTTTTGTAGTCCATTTAGGAATATACAATGGTTTATATAAAAGTTCAACATTCTTATTTTTGTTCAGAATTGCACCAACTTCATCTAATTACAGTTTTAAAATCAGATTCATTGGAGAATCTTCGTTTTTCCCGTTTACCAAAGTTTTAGTCTAAAAATATAGTCCAATGTCAAGTCGGCACCCGACTATCGCAAATAACACAGAACACAAGGAAGCTGACGAAACTTTTGAGCATGCGTGCTTCACCTTCATCACGTCGTAGATAAGTTTGGGGAGGTCCAAAAACTGTGCTGTGCGTGAACTTCCGCCTCACTAGCCAACGAAAGCCATACTGTGTTATAGTGACAGAATATCGCAACCGATGAGATCATGGCCGGCCTAAGAGAATGTCCGAAAGAATCTGAAAATAGTACAACATCACACCAGTCATCCCTACCATCATATATTAAAAAGTCCACCATTAAAAGCTAAAATTCTGCGGCCCGCGGAAAAGTGTGAATTTTTAATAGTGTGTCCGCGAAACGAGTTTTTAGCTTAGATAATCTGGTACGTGCGAGCAATTCTGCCAAAAACAAAGCCTATTACCCATAGGACTGCCATCGATATAAACCCAGTAATAAGGACATCAGGGAAAACAATAATAGAACAACAAAGAACGAAATGTAGCAAACAAAATGTATTCATGCCAGTGCGAGCCGTGTCTTATCATATTTTGCACTAGAAAGAATTTGCTCCATCTCACTTTCAAGTTATTTTTTGAGTTATGATTCCAGTTACACGAACTGATTTTGGCCGGAAGGCTATTCTTTTGTCATTGTGCCAATTAATTTGCTGTTACTGACTGTATTAGGTAATGAATGCGCGTAGCAATCAATGTGGTTGTAAAATAGCATTTCTAGCAAATAATCATTTGAATTAATCAATCTAAGTGCCTGATATAGAACCTCTACACATAAAATAAGGACACATGTCAAAATAAGAACGTTTCTTAGAAATAAGGACAAAAATATTTTCTAAGACAAAGACTTGGACCCTGCCTATACCAGTACCTACCATATTAGCAATACTAGCCAGCAAAATCCAGTCAAAAAAAAAACAAGAACGTGTTTCTTACTGAATTCGTTTAAAGTCGGTGTGACAATAAATTTGAAAAGCTGTTTTTTTAGAAATTTAAGCGTTTAACTCAACATCCCTGCAAAGACTCCTAACATTGCCGTATGATCAATAACAAAAAGAAACAATTTTTTGTGCTTGCAACTACATTAGAAACTCTACCTACAAAATTAATTCGTTCCGGAAGCCTCTTCGTAAGTAAAAAAAAGTAGGAACACATTTTATCTGTAAATGCCCTAATCCGTTCTAAGCACCCACAAAACTCGGCCGAAATATTTGTATAAATTATAATATACGGTATATTATAATATGCGTCATATTCGGTATTCTTATAAACACGAAAAATGATATTCGAAGGTCGCGATATTCGAACATTAAATTCAAATTGGACAGCCGTTATTCAATCACTGCATTAAATTACCTAATATAAACAAATATCATACAAACGATAAGAATTTTCGTAATTTGGATTTTTCGCATCCAGAGTCTTTCGTAGGTCGAATTTTTAGGTGCGGTACGCGGCTTCATCCAGTTACTTGTAAATGGCCCTCCTGTAAAAAAGGTTGCACAACCCTGCTTTAGATAACTGAGTGATCATATCATGTCTGAATAAAATACCCAACAACCAAGAAGATGGCAATGAATATCATCGCCCTATGGTCAGTGGTGAGCTGTATCCGGAACGCCGTTTCCAATGTTGTGTATTTTATTGCATTTGCGTTCATGTCGTTGAAATAAAATTATGTCATAGAAAGTTTAGTTTCTCTGGTAAACTTAGTCATCAACTGTACGTTTTGTTATGTCATAATAATTTTTACATCGCAGCAGACAAATAATTAGTTCAACCTTATCGTGTAATAAATGTCCCACCGACCTTTGACGGCCTTCCCAATAATAACATTTGTATTGAATTCCTATGAATATATTTGTCATTTTAAAAAAAATTCTTTTCTCTTCAACGATTGGACCAGTGAACTATTCACAGTCCAGGGTGGTCCAAGGTTGTCGGCTCCGGGGGCCATAAAATTATTTTTGCATTGTTCGCGGGCTACAATAGTGCTAAGAATAGATGAACAATTCAATACAAAACAAACACTTTTATTGTGGAAACACATTGATCAGTATTTATCATTTATCAAGCTATAGCATGCAAAAACTTACTAAAACATGCAAAAGTCTTTCTATATTTATATTTAGTGTAAGATTTTTAAACTCTTTCGAACGGAAAAAGTGCTTCCACAAATGTGAGTGCTTCCGAACATCGGGGATAATTACTAATATATATAGGCAGTATTTTTTGTAATTCTGTCTAGGCTGGTTGCAAAAAAGCTCCAGACATGAAGTAGTTGTAGTATATATTTACGGTTAGACCATAACATTAATATTTAGTTATCAGACATAACCAAGGCTAATAGAATAGAATTTAAGTTATCAACAATGCCAAAATTCTATTCAATTAAAGAGTCCAGCTGCACACTAACACAAATGTATTTCTGTAACGTTTCGTCCGACCAGAGTCAGACTTCCTCAGACAAGCAGTTTACAACAATGGCAAGAAAGAAAATTTGCTAAATGAATTTGAAATATCAAATCAAGTATGACGTAACAATGCATAAACGACATCAAAGAAACGTACATTTTCCAATCTCAAAAAAGACGAAGTCGAGGCCTTGAGGGAACTAGAACAAAGAGCAGCAAGGGATATCATCATAGTACCTGCGGATAAAGGCGGGGGAACTTGCATACTCTCCCGAACTGACTACATCACAGAAGGTATGCGGCATCTATCGGATAACTTGGTATACAAGTGCATTCCAAAAGACATATCTATACAAATTGGCAACAAAGTAACCAAATTATGTCATAATATGAGGGAAGCCGGCATTATTGATGACATACTACTCAAAGGGATAACTCCAAAAAGACCTAAACCAGGTCGTTTACGTTTACAACCAAAAGTGCATAAGAAAAATCACCCCAGTCGGCCAATCATATCAACAAACGGAACTGCAACGGAAAAATTATCAGCTTTCATAGATTACAAATTAACTAACCTCATGTGCAAAGAGGTTATACCATCATATGTCAGAGACAGTATGGATTTTCTGAATATTCTGAAAAAAATTGACAATATTCCGCCAGGATCTTATTTAGTAACCATGGACGTGACTTCCTTGTATACAAATATTCCACATAAAGATGGCATCTTAGCGGTGGAGAAGTATCTCAGTAAATATACCACAGAAAAACGGGAAATTCCATATATTAAAGAAGCAGTTAATATGGTTCTTGATAATAATAATTTTTTATTTGACGGAAAGCATTATCTCCAAATCAATGGGAACTAAGATGGCTCCCAAATATGCAAACATATTTATGGCATACTTAGAGTCTGAGATTCTAGAAACAGCGAAGATTAGGCCACAATACTACTATAGATACATCGATGACTGTTTTCTGATCTGGACACACGGCGAAACCGAGCTTATATCTTTTATAAACCATGCGAATTCAATACACCCTTCTATCAAGTTCACATTCGAATACTCAACGGAAAACATTACATTTTTAGACGTAAAAGTCCATATCATAGACAACAAATTGGAAACGGAAATTTACACTAAAGACACGGACTCTCACCAATATCTTTTACCCTCCTCATGCCACCCCAAACATATTACTGCAAACATTCCAAAGGGACTCTTCATAAGAATAAGAAGATCGTGCTCAAATGTCGAATTTTTTGACAAGCATGCAGGAATTATGAAACGCTATCTCATGCAACGAAATTACGAAGAGACTTCTATTGACAAAACAATAAAATTGGTAAAAGAAATGAACAGAGATTACCTTTTAACACCGAAAAGTACAAAACAAGGTCAGCAACTATTGCCATTTATTACCAACTACCACCCAAACCAACCGCACTTTAGAAAAATATTTTCGGACTACCAATATATTCTTGACAACAATGCACGACTAAAAGAGATTTTCCCTCAACCTCCGAAAATTGCATATAGAAAGTGCCCTACATTACGCGATAGACTGGTTAGAGCTAAACTACAACCAGTAATATCACAGAAAGTACAATCTGGTTTTTATAAATGTAATAGAAAAGCATGCACCACCTGTAAATATTCCGAAGAAACAAAAATAAGTACCGGGAACGTGACGGGAGTCCATATAAACATTAACGAAAGGATAAGTTGTAAATCAAATAATGTTATTTATCTGACCTATTTTTTAAAGCCAGGGATTTAAAGCGTGCTTGTGGATATAAATTTTTATGGACAAATAATGGAAGAGTTCTTATCAAAAAGAACCTGGATACTGCTACCATCCCCATAATCACTGAAGATGATCTGCTTTTAATAAAGTAGGTTATTATATGATATTCATGTCTATTTATTAACTTTTAATATTATCAAGTGTATATATATCCATTTTTCATATTCTCCCTAAGATAAATGGCTAATATTTCTAATTGTCTATGTGACAACATAGAAGTTTCAAATTTGAATGATATTCCAGTTGATATTGATTTAACAATTATTCACATCAACATTCGATCAATTCAAAAAAATATTGACCCATTAATTGAACTGTTGTCAAAATTCACTATTCCCCCTCATATAATAGCAATTAGTGAAACTAAATTACATACCGGTAATAGTCACTCCTCCAATATAAGCATTGATGGATACAGATTCATTCATACCCCTTCTGCTTCAAAAGCAGGGGGTGTGGGTGCCTTCATCAGAAACGACATTACTTATTGTGAAGTTAGTGACTATCAACTCAATTATCCAAATTCTGAAGACTTATGGTTCGAAATTAGCCTAACAAATGTATTCAATAATATGAGCATTGGCATTATTTATAAACATCCGAGAAGTGATATTCCTGAATTTACAAGCATTGTTGAAAACTGCATGTCAAAATTATCTAAAAAACATTTTATAATAGTGGGAGATCTTAATATCAATTTACTCGCATCAAATACCAACACCCAAATTGCATCTTATTCTGATATGCTTACTTCCTATAATGCTATTTCTCTCATTTCAAAGCCTACTAGAGTTACACGTAGCTCTTCCACTCTTATAGACCACATGTATTCAAACATGACAGATGTGCAAGTTAATTCATATGTGATATCATCTGATATCACTGATCATTTTCCCATAATGTGCTGTCTTAAAGGCATTAAACCATCCACTATAAATGATGTCATATTATCAAGGGATATGTCTTCATTCTCTATCGATGAATTTCGGTCAGATATGCTACACATAGTTGATGAACGCTTTGTCGCGTTAAACTTGAATTGTCATAATTTTGATAGACTATTTGCAGAATTTATGCATTCTATTGCTTGCCTAATCAACCGCCATGCCCCATTGAGACCACTGTCACGTCGACAAATAAAGATAAAGCAAAAACCGTGGATAAATAAAAAATTACGTGACAGCATCTGTTTAAGACATAAGATGTTCAAATCTCACCACTTATGCGGCAATAGTTCTCAATCCTCATACTATAAAAAATATCGCAATTCACTAACACATGCCATTGAAGATGCTAAACAAATGTATTTTCAAAAATTGATTGCCCAAAACAAAGGCAACCCCAAGTGTACTTGGCGAATTGTTAATCAAATAGCACCTACTAAAAATAAAAAAACCAAAAGTGTTAATGAAATTGATTTGGAAAATGGCAGAACCATTAAAGATAAGTCCTTGATTGCACAAGAATTCAATAAATATTTTTCCACTGTTGGGTCCAACCTTGGTACTAAATTCTCCAATGATATGGATGGCTTTAAAATATTTCTAAGCAAGCGTGTAAATCAATCCATATTCTTAAGTCCTGCAACAGTGAACGAACTGACCATGGAAATAGTATGCCTCAATGAGGGTAAAGCGGTTGGCGCTGACAACATTCCCAGTCGTTTCCTTAAGTATGTGGCAGACATCATAGCACCTTGTATAACTATTGGGGATATTTCCATCTTCACTGAAAATTGCCAGAGTAATTCCAATCTTCAAATCTGGTAATACAAAACAAATTTCAAATTACAGACCTATATCCATATTATCTGCTGTTGATAAGGTTTTTGAACGTCTAATTTACAGGAGGCTAATGGACTTCTTTACAAAGCACGATGTTATAAATAAATCACAGTTCGGTTTTCAAAGCAATCACTCCACGTCACATGCCATCTTAGATACTATTTCTCATATATATGATAAATTAGAGAGGAAAGAATATGTCAGTGCAACATTTCTCGACCTTAAAAAAGCTTTTGATACTGTCAACCACAAAATTTTAATGTATAAGTTGTGGCATTACGGTATTAGGGGGGTAGCAAATCAACTCCTTACTAGTTATTTGACAAGTAGAACTCAATATGTTCAAATAGGTACATATTGCTCCTCTGTCTTACCTGTGACCCATGGGGTTCCCCAGGGTTCGTCCTTGGGTCCGGCTCTGTTCTTAATTTATATTAATGATCTTGCACATAGCTCCACTCTATTTTCCAAATTATTCGCTGACGATACGAACCTTCTCGATAGTGATAAGTCTCATGTTGTGCTTCAATCCAGAGTGAATACTGAAATACAAAAGGTTGCTCATTGGATGGAACTTAACAAACTAACATTAAATGTGGATAAATCAAAAACTATGTTGATAACTCCTAAAAAACCAAAACGCATTGATGGTTTAAAAATCCAAATTGGGGGGACTATTCTGGAAAATGTGGAATCGTATAAATATCTTGGTATCGATATTGACAATAAATTGAACTGGGATATTCACATATCCAACATTACCGTTCAGTTCAGCAAGCAAAATGTTACTGCATCGTATTGAAGTCATGCAAAACAGGGCAATCCGTGCTCTTACACACGCCGGACCTCGGTGCAATTTAGAATCCTACTATTATAAGATGAAAATACTTAAAAATGCAGATATTTATAAAACTGAAGTGCTGAAAATTATGCACCAACATCATAATAAAAAACTGCCGGCTGCATTCTCCGGCTATTTTGTTAAGCAAAGCGTCATTCACTCTCATGCAACTCGGTCTTCTGCCAATAGCTCATATTATATGACTCGCTATTCATCTAGCCGCACACAAAATTCCATTAAGTTCATTGGTATAAAACTTTGGAATATGCTTCCAGTTACCATACGCTCTAAGAACTATAATACATTTAAAAAAGAATTAAAAAATCACTACCTCAATGCTTATAACATCCAGTAGTCTAATTCACTGGTCATCAATCCTGTATTTGATGACAATTTTGCTGAATGTGATGTTTTTCTTATTTGTTCATATCATTCATTTCCAGTGTTATTGAATATTTTCACTATTCTTCCACAAGCTACGTTACCCCAAATCTCTTCGCCGTGTACTTAACCTCTCGTATTGTGATTCTGTTGCCCAAACTTCATTATGTATTTATACCTCCAAAACTAATTCCCTTATTGTGGTTTGCTGGGAATTCCCCGTAATTTATCTCCGCAAGGCAGCGTCATGTCAATCAGAAGCCCGACAAGCTGTGACGGTGCCGACCCGAGCACGACGCTGACGATTTGAGCATTTTTTCCCCTCCTGACGCGCTCTTGTTTTTCTCTCGTTTCTCATGATTATCTTCGATTTAACTATTTTCTCCTAACTGACTTCCCCAATTCGACTTACATTTTCCAAATTGTGTTCATTCAAAAAATATATATGTTTAAATCCTGTTTATTTAACTTCATCTGCTGCTGTTTACAGCTATTTAGGTGTCGCTGACACGTTAACTTTATAGTTTATTCGCGACTCCTCGTCTATTGCAGTCGAATTATTGTACGTCTGTTATTTCTTCTCTCGATTTATTTTTACTGTTTATATGTACAATATTTCTTGCATGACGGAAATAAATATCTGAATCTGATAAACTGTAAGAAATGTGGGATGCAGTATATCGGCGAGACCGGAAGGTCGTTAAAATATCGTATAACAGAACATCTGAGAAGTATTACGAAAAGGAAATATGATTTAGTAGTGGGAGAACACTTCAACAAACTGGGACATTCAATAAGTGACTTTTCAGTAACTGGAATAAAAAAAACTATTCAGAGACCAGGGCTATCGACAAACAGTAGAAGCATACTACATCAACAAATTCGGAACATTGGAACCAAAAGGACTCAATTCACGGGAGAAATAGACTGTAGACTCATCTAAGAATTATTATTTAATAATAATTTTCATTCCAACGTCATATAATATTTAAATTTAACAATCACTCTTTTTCTTAAGTTTATATTATTACTCGCCCCTTGATTGGCGTTTTATTTTACTATTTTCAAGTGTCCCAAGTTTAATTTTAATTATAATTCGGAACCTTGGAGTTATGTGCTTGCGATAATTTTTTTATTTATTTTCTTTTGTCCTACTCGAAATATGCTAGATGGTTAATTTATTCATTTATTATTATGAATTAATATTATATTTTAACGCTATTTAAGATCAAAATTCAGCAATAACTTTTAACCTTTTTTAATTTTGAAATTGGTCCTCACCAGACTAAGCCTTGATTTATGTTTAAATGTTGGTTTACTTCCTCGTGGTTCTCTAAGTGCCCATAATTTCAATTACATTTAGTTACCCATCATTTTCGTAAATGCAATAATAAAACCCTTTTTTTATTTTATTTTTTTCAATTACATCTGAAATGAGCTCCACTGATATTTGTGGTTCTAATCTTCCCAATCATTACTTCTACGGCTAAATGCAAATTAAATGTTTATGCATTGTTACGTCATACTTGATTTGATATTTCAAATTCATTTAGCAAATTTTCTTTCTTGCCATTGTTGTAAACTGCTTGTCTGAGGAAGTCTGACTCTGGTCGGACGAAACGTTACAGAAATACATTTGTGTTAGTGTGCAGCTGGACTCTTTAATTGAATAGAATAGTCATGTTTATTCCAGCTACAGTATCCTTGCAGTATACGCATACGGATCCACTAGCATAAAGGCATAGGGAAAAGATAGGAAGTTAGTCTCGCGCAACCCAACTCAAATTTATGCCAAAATTGTTGGCATATATTTCCGACCAAAAAGATACGAAGCCAGATACTAATTAAGTCTCCCGAGAGCATCATTCAACTTCGATAGATGCCTCATCTAGCCATAAGATTGGTCAATTCAGTGACAGTGATGTAACAATATGTCACAAGATTTTTCTGGGTAATTTATGACGAAACAACACTAAATGCAATTTTTTGATCACTCTCCTAATGCGACGCGGGCCACAGATAATGAAGCAGCGGGCCTGGATTTGGACCACCCTGATTCACACTATGTGGCGGTTCCAGGATCGCATTTCATCGATCTAGTTAGTGGTCAGCGAAGTCGGGGAGTGTTTTGATAAGGTAGACCTGGGTGGTCCAAATCCTGTCATGCTGACACATTCCGTGCGGCTCACCGAACAATTTTAGCGTATATTTGTATCTAATGATGGAACATTTTTGAGTTTTTTTTAGCTATTCCAACTGGGGTTGGGATCTGGAGATTCAAACCCTTTTTCTAGCGCTTTGTGCCTTTATTTTAAGAAAAACACTCTGTTTTTAGGAAAGAAAAGCAGAGCCGACTTAACGCCGCGCAATTCAGTTTTTTTTTTTCACGAGATACCGAAACACCAACTTAGACAGACTTGGTTGGTATTTGACGATGGCACTAAGCTTGCTCACGCTGCAAGTTTTTTAATTACTCAATATAACAATTCGTATTAAAATGAGTGTCACAAGAAGGTATAACATAAGGAAAAACACGGCGGAAACGTATTTCCTTGCCCATCACACAGTGTCTGGTTTGATTTCAAGTAATATCTGTAACGAAAGAATATAATTTGAAGGGGCATTAAACGTGAGATGCGCAAAATACAACGGTAATTCTCGGGAATTAACTTTAAAATAACTGAAGGCTTTATATATCTTCAACGCCACCCATGCAACATAATAATAGTCGGATTAGAACGGTAAACTCGTGATATTTCGATCACTTTCGGGTTTTCTCCGACTTGCGGTCCGCGAGACCCCTTCAAAATTCTTTGCGGTCCTCCAACCTTGAATCACCCTGAGGTTAGACTACAAGTACCGGTCAAATTTTCAAACTACAGTTGTGACTTGTATCCTTTGGTATTTCGATTCACGTTGAGACTGGAGGCATGCATCTTTATTGTCACACTCCCACAGATTAGAGTTCAACCGATATTGCGTGTTTGCCTATATATCATATCGGCAGTAAACGGCCGATATATATATCGGCTATACATAACAGTGAGAAAACCTAAAAATGTTTTTTAGGTTAACTGTTGGTTGTGATTATTTTTAATGGATAATGCACTTATGTGGTTCATTGTTTTTTTTATAATTAAATTACACATGAGGGGGCACCAAAGTGGCTTAATCGGCCCCTGCATAAAGCCCATGTTGTTCGTAACCCCCGTCTTGAAACAAGAAATACAACAATCAATAGTATGAAATTTAATACATCAAGCGTTATTTACATTCATATATATCATCGGCATAGCATTTAGAATTTCTCTTCGCCGAAAAGGGCGATGTTGAGATGTCCGAAAAAAGTATAAAGTATTCAATTATAACTAAGTGAATGGCAATCTTATATATCTGAATCTATCCTATTAATTTCATATCTTATATTCTTTAGTTTGTCCACACACCGCACATGCTTCCTAAAGAAAATGCATATAAAAATGTATGGAAGCAGCCATCTATAACCTAATCTCAAGAAGAGAACAGAAAAAAAATGAAAATTTGATGCCCTCAAAAGAAATCAATTTAATTGTGTGTATAAAATACATGTAAAAATAATAAAACCTAAACCAGATAGCTATTTGGCATCAACTGACTTTTTTTAAAAAAAAATAAAAGCAACGACTAAAAATTATTAGTAAAAACGGAGATTTGTCAACAAGGTAAACATTCTGAAAGACTATTAGTCAGGAAGAAACATGTTAAATAAACATTAGCGCCAACTGTAGATGTTTATATAAGAAGCTTCAGAATGTATGAAAGCAATAATATGTTTCATTCCTCTGTGTATCGTTCCCTAATTAATTAGTATATATACATATATGTAGGTATTATACAATATATCAGAACAAGAACAAAAAATGAACAGTCAACAATTGTTTTCAGTCGGCCCTAATCTATAAAACCAAAGTTGCATGTTCATGAAAACATACATACTATTTATAAAATATTTTGATCATACATACTTCTTTTTATAGGAAATTTTACTCATATTAAGGTCACACACACTCATCCAGAAGCATGGGGGCAAAGATCTCTTTAGAGCAAAGATGGAGACTGATCTACTTTGAGCAGAACTACAGGTGACTACTGAGACTATGAAGATTATATCTGAGAATTAAGTGTAGGTAAATACCGACAAATATGAGAACATTTCCCTCACTCAATAAGTTGAAAATGATAACAACATGGTATTCCCCCCTTTTCAGCACCCTCTGTATCAGTCAATTATTGCAAGAATACTACATCGAAGTTTCCTATAAAACATCTACTTACAAATATTAAGATAACATGTTCGAAGGCATCAATCAATTCCATCTAATAATACTCAAAATTATTAAGAGACCACTGTGCAGTTAATAACAAACAAATAAAAACAGTTAAAAGTATAGAGTGATATGTGTACAGAGAAGACAAAAGTAAATAACAATATAAAAATGTAATAGGATACATTTTATTATGTTTGATAGGTTGATAATACAGGATCTACGCAACGAAAAATGTAATTAATATAAAATACTGTTGCTCATTGTACACTTCCTGCACGATTTATTAATTAAACAACATCAGTAATATCAATACAAGCGAAAAATCATGAGAAAAGTCTGTAACAGCAAGCAAATGCCTGAAAGCAGTCAGCAACTGCTCAATATTGTGGAAAAATATAGGGACTCTCATCTTTTCATATTTGGATGAATTCGCGCGTTTGACTGACAAGTTTCGTTTTCAATTTACCAGTTGCAACTCATTAGAAGATTGAAATATCAGCATTAACTTCACAAAAATGAAAACTACAACGAAATGTGACAGCCATAAATCATGACAGTGGGAATTTGATCTCCATATTTCACGACCAGAACTAACCACATGAATTAATATATGCACTAGGTATGTTCACAACATACAAAAATGCATAGGTGACCAAAATGTGAAATCTGATCAAATTGAGCATTAGAATAAATGCTACTAAATTCTTGTACTAGATAATTTATGCGGTTCGATTCAAGAAAGGATGATAAACGCTAAATACTCGCAACAACACCATCTTGTTTCTGTCATTAAAAATTTACTAGTAAGATTGCTGATCGATCATAGTTACTGGAATAAACAGAAACTGCGCTTTCTTAAATAAAAAGATATCTTCATATTTGAACAAATTCAATGTTTTCAACCGAGCAGCATTTACAGATAACATATTTTCCTCAATGGAGTACCGCTTCACAATATTGGATCGACAAGACGCATACAGTAAGTATTTAGAACAGATGTATTAATATTTTTGTTTGGGGATCTTGATATATACTGATATTTAAAACCAAGAAATAGGCTTCACTTGGGTTAAAGTAGACTTGTTGTAGCTACATACATAACATTAGTCTGGTAAAAAGGAAACACAAGTTTAAGTTTTGAATTAAAATTTCATTTTAATCCTAGTGAGAAAGCATCCCCCACCTAAGAGGTATCTGCGTTTTTAACTTCCAAAATCAGGAGTGGTGGGCCATAGACTTTGTAGAAAGAAAGATTAGGCATAGCATAGGTGCAAAAATAAAAGCTTAGCTGTTTTAGTGATTAAGATAGGGAATGTTAAAATGATCGTAGTTGGTATCGTTAGTAAATCTCATAAGTAAATCAATTTGACTAAAACATTTTCAATATCACAAACTGCCCTAAGTATTTTTATGACGTCTTCCAGATCTCAAGGTTAAACAAATATGATACTATTAAAATTTCTAAATAAGCCCAACTCTTTTAGGCACCAAAATTATTTTCAAAACTTAGAAAACAGGTGAACACTATATTTCCACAAAACCTGCAGGCTAGTACAGCATAACTTTTTTAAATGAACAAAATATATCTTAAAAACGATTTAAAAATTATTGAGCTATTTACAAAAAAGCTAGACAATTAAGAGAATGAAAACTGAAAATGTTTTATATCCAAGCACACAAAGTTGAGCAAACATCCCAAGGCACGATCTGACAACAGTTCTAAAATATTTAAGGAGAACACAAATTTCAAGTTAAAATTAAGAGACACAAACAATCAAAAAAGCCAAGTTTTGTACCTTAGAAAACATGAATATAGAACTTATTTGCAAAAACAATAAACCTTCCTTAATGGAAAAATCAAATCACTAAATAAAACGTTTGAACATTACAACAATTTCAGATGCAAGTCGGACTGCATGAATAAAATACAAGTTTAGTTCACTTGATTTCAATTTCAATGAAAACGTATTTGATTGTTCGATCAGTCAAAAGTCATTATTTTCTAAATAAAAAACTGATTCAGGCGACAATGAGGGAATCCTTTGTAAGCTTGGAGCATTCCAGCACATTACATTTCCAACTAGTTGACAGTGGTTGAAAATCATCCCTCAAACTTCAGTGTAGCGCCTTGCGATCCTAAAAATTGATCATGCTTTATGACAACAAAGTTGAAGATTTGATAATGGAAGTTATGTGTTTATCAGCTATCTAATTAAGAGTAATATGACTGGAAATGTAGGACCCCAAACATTAAGAAGATGAGTGAGTGAATTTACTTGTTGTGCTATAAACTGGGGTAAATCACAACAGTACACAAAATATAATTACCGATTCCCTCCATTGTATCTAGGTCATCATCAAAATATTCTTCAGAAAGAATATGGCTCCTGTCTTGACTTCGAACAATATGTGAAGACCCCGAACTTCGTGTTCGTAGGTCCAGACAGTGGAAATAGCGGTCAATGTGTGTTCTTCTGGAAACCATTTTAAAATAAAAAGTATTAGCACCGAATAAAAATATGAGAATAAAACACATAAGCTACATGTAGTAATATTGTGTTTATTACTTTAGATCAGTCTGTTTACATCAATGATTGCTTTGTCTACACCTATAATTACTGCACCTATTTAGTCTTGTACTGTTCACTGGTCACTTATGTTTTGTCTGTGTTAAAGTAAAGAGCTAATAAACTCTGTGTTTAAGTTAATGTTTATCTGCATTCTTGGGAATCAGTACACTACATTTAACAAAAAGTTTGGTGGCATCCCTCATTTAAATAAATCAGGCATATTATTAGGAAATACAATGCTAAAATATCACATGAAACCTATGTGAAAAATGTTTATAATACATAAATGGACACTGATGCATTATTGGTATAAACACTAGCTTGGAGTATACCTAAGTGTTAAAGATTAAAAGAAAGACTGGCAACATTTGAATCGTAATTTGAGAAATGGTAAGATACATGTAAAAATCTATAATTCCCATTCATCAAAATTTTTCAATTCTCACCTCGCAAATCTACGTATCAAGAAGAATCCGGTCACACAAATCAGAATGATGATAATGACAATAACTGCAATAATTCCACCATTTTGAGGAGAACTATTGTGCGAATCAGAGGTAATTACAATGGTGCCATCATCTGGAATAATATGTCAAAATAAAACAGAGATAAAATTAAACATAAATTGATAGACTTGTCATCTTTTCAAGATATACATTGTTTGAATTGTGTTATACAAATAACACATATAATCCAACCTACAACAAGAAATGCTTTTGAAGTGTATTTCTCTATTCAAAATATACCAATGCATATAACTATAAAATGTATAACACAATTGGTAAAACTAAATTTTAACAATCATGCCAAGTCTACGTAAATCAGGCGTAAATATTTTATTAGTTTCTATCGTTCATTAAAAAAAGTCACATTCCATAAATTTTAAACATAAAAATTAACTTGTGGCTCAGTTCATTCACTAATCTCTGTAAAGAGTCGCAACGACAAAAACGCAATGGCAAGATAACATATGCTGTATTCAATAAACGCCTTGAATGCATTTGGCGCAAATCAAATACAAACCTACCCCTGTTCCTCATTGAACAAAACCACTGTCCAATAACTCAATCGCCTCGCTTACCACAGAGAGCCATCCAAAGCGAACTATAAAAATTTCGCAAGCAACTGTCAAACTACTCAAGATTGTCCAGTTGTAGTGATTTAGAATTCATGCAAAATTTGTCACATAACAATACCTAATGAATAATGCACATATATGCTAAAGGTAGGTATCATGAAGCATTGATTTGAGGAACATGCTATGGAAATGTTATCAGCCTGTGAATTCAAAACAGTCTTCCTGCCCTAGCTTATAATAGGCACAGCTCGGTGGACAATTTTTATCTTCCTCTTTGTACCATGCAAATCATGTATGATTAATTAGATAAAAGCAAAACAAGGAAAAAGTCAAAAGTTTTTAATCAAGAGAAATTCAAACTCCTTATTTTGTGAGTGTCTACTCAATTTAATATGCCTGACTGACCGACTGCTAATGAGAAAAATTCATAACGAGAGTTGGAAACCCACTTTGTCACAAAAAACTCTCAAATTTTCTAGATGTTCAATTACTTTAATTCAAATTTTTGCGAGAAATTGATGCTGTAGTAACATGTTAAATGTAAACTAGACTAGTGAATGCTCCCTCCTCCATGATCGTTTTTTTCCTTGTGCAACTGAAATTATGACAAATAATCGGAAGAAACTCACGGTCAATTATGTAATGTTTCTTCACTTTAACAGAATGATGATGTGACAGAAGTATGTTTATTTTAGCTTTTGCAATTGCTCCTTCCAGTGCCTTAGTAGCCTGAAAAATGAAATGAATTAACATACAAGTTCTCAATCAAGTTGATATAGGAGATAGATATACAATAAAATCACATTATTACAGAATTATTGTAACCAGTTGATTTGCATAACGCACAATGGCACAGCTTTTGGACAGTAATATTGTTGGCATAGTTGAACAAGGCAAAGTTGAAGCCACCTTTGTTGGCCTAATTAGAAAATTATTATTGTACCAGCGGTTTGAGTATGCTATTTCAAAAATTAAGTTTTCTCATGTAGGATTACAAGTTATAAGAATATTTTCATTCAAGTCAAATTTTCAAACAGAAATTTAGTAGTTACTTTCTAATTGAAAAATATTTTATATTGTTTCTACTATAAAATCAAATTTGCAATCCATGATCATTTGTATGCATACATATGTACATTTAAATAATATGCATTTGTACTGCTACATGTTCTTTAGACCTTGAAAACTATTAAACAAAATAATTTTAAAATTGAAGGGGCATATGTTATGCCATGAAATTTGCTTTTGGCCCAATAATAGGCTATAGCAGGGCTACTCAACTGGCGGACCTGTGGTCCAAATCGGACCTTTCGAGTATTGGATTTGGACCGCACCTAATTAAATATTTTGGATCATTAGCCCAACTTTTTGAATTTCCTATTATAAAATGACTTTCATAGTTTTGAATGTATACAAAAAGAACTATACCACCATAATAAACACTTTTAATTTGCTACTAATCATTACTCGGTTGAGGAAGTGCTCGTTTAAGGATGCCGAAATATAATTTCTGGAAAGACCAGACCCAAACAATTTTGAAGTTTTGTTTGCGGACTTCCGATAAAAATAGTTGAGTAGCCCTGGGCTATAGTATAAAATCTGGAGACTGATTAAGATTAGAATAATATGAGATTAGTGAACATTTGTCTAAGATAAAACAACTTTTCCATTACATCTCCTGTTTTTCCAAATATAGGCAAAGCAAAAATCGTTTTACAGGATTGCTGGTATTGTGCATTCTGTTACATATCAGTTTTACGAAAATGTATTGATAACATGAAAGCTCACTTTTAGAAGATGTTCTTTTGTCTCATCACTACCCATCGGTGCAACATAAATAAATACCCTGAAGATGTTTGAAGGTGGAACATAGACAAACATGTTGATTTCATTCAGCAAATTATATTTACCGACAACCTTGGCAAATTCATCAGTCTAGAAAAATTAGGTTGCTGAGTATGTTTGATCTTAAGAAAGTCAAATTGTAACAATTTTACAAAATGGCAAATTGCATCCAGCCAGATCGGAAATTCCTAAAAATACCAAATTCAGTGAATGCCCCTCTTAACACAACAGTAATCAAGAATCTGGGAGTTTAATTTTTTGCCTTGAGTAGGGCTGGGCATTTTCGAATACCTGATGATTTTAGAATCGAATCGAATAATTTTTTCGAATCGAATCTTGAATACATTGGAGATATAAAATTGTATGCAACTTTTTTATTTTATTTGGTCCTCCAGACACATAAATTACTGAAAACATAGAATACATCACTCCGGCAGATTGCTGAGCGTTCACATACAATAAAAAAACACGTCTTCATCGATAACTCACTACAGAAAAGAGTCATATGTCAGAATTGCGTTGAAAAAATACGGCTTTAATAAAAAAAATGAGAAATTTAGCGGGACCATTGGCGAAAAGAAAAAAAATACAGATGGCGGCGATTCGACATTTTGCTCTGAACTGATTCGAAATGCTCAGCCCTAGCCATGAGGAAAATATGCACCATGAATGCAGAATGTAACAAATTAACAATTACTATTTCAAGGCGAAGGGAGACAAAAAAACTCTATACTGGTTAGCAAGCAGCGACATAGTCGATGCTTTATACATATTTGACAACATAACATAAATTGGGAATGTCAATTCTGTGTTTTACATCATATGCTTATATACTTTACTAAACAATATTACTCAGTTTGTAATATCTCTCAAACCACCGACTGCCGGCTCAGCTCAGCTTACTTAATATCCTTTTAAATTCGAACTGAATCATTTTTATAGTGATTTTATCAACGAGAAAATTGGTCAGAGACCGAAGACTTATTGATCGAAAGTTAGGAGATCCCCCAAAACAGTGCTCTTACTCCATAGTGACACCTTGTGTCACATCACTAATTAATTAATAACTCGCTAATTATACGACATAAATCATCCAAAATCAATAGGCTTCTGGTCCAACATATGATGAATGCACGGGCAAAATCTGGAGCAGATTAAATCTCGCTTTTGTGAGATATCGCGTGCATCTAACAGAAAGACAGACAAATACCTATTAACATACTTACCGATTAAAATCGATAAATAATAAGTTATAAAATAAATAAAAAAATAAAAGACAGCAAAGCAACCAGGAAGAAAACTTTGGAATAATAGAATACAGTTAGTCAGAAAATTAACCTCTATCAAGATATGATACCGATTTTATTGATACGGTTATCAACAAGGGTCTGTGAACCAGGTAGACTAAAATAATTTAACCAATTCATCTATCATTCAAATATTGAATGAAAACCTATTCAACTTATTCAATCTGAGTATCAAAAGACAAGTTGGTTGCGTCAGATCAGCTGGGGTGCACGGGCGCCGAGGGTTCGTGAAGTAGTTTTGAACTACTGTTTTGAATAATTTCATTAGGCCACGAGGCACGCCCCAATAAAATATTTCAGGGGTCCGTGATAGAAAATTTCTAAAAACCACTGGTCTACATTGACCGTGGTGGTTTCACTTTCCTCTTTTCCAACTATTTACATATTTAAAAAACCGACCTCCTGACTCACATAAATCAATCTCTGACAAGTTAAACAATGATCAAGTAATATGACTGTATAGTGATTTGAAATCTGGAGTCAAATTTGGTATACTCGGGCAAATTAAAATTTTGAAGTGGGGAAACACTGCTTATAAATTAATTTTTCGAATCCGAACAGAGTCAGCAAATGTCTTGAATACCTGTGTCAACTGTTTTACACCAAATCTGAAGAGATCATTAATGCTACATGACTGGACCAATTCTAACGGAAAGAAAGATATTTCTATATTATGTCTCACAAACTTACAGTGTACAACTTCAATTTGAGCGCTTGTCTGAATTCTTGAAGCCATATTCCAGTCATGTTTGATGGATACATTTTTGGTGTGCACTCCATCTCCAATACGAGAGTTTCTATGTATTCTAAAAAGGAGAAATTAGGATATTTCAATTTCCATTAATATCTTTTTGAAATAATTTTACATCAAAAATTGGCTATAACTATAAGTGCTGCAAAAGCGAGGAGAGGCAAGGCACGAGACAGTTTCTGCTTTTAAAATTATGCTTGAAAGATAAATGTTGTAACAGGTAGAAATCTATCTAATTGCGAAAAGGAACAGTTTATGCAATCATGATCCACATATTTCATTCGACAGCATCCCATTATGTAAGCTAGCAGTAGTATAACGAATGTGGTAACTAGATTGATTCATCTCATTCATGCATCTAAGTATAAATTGTCCAGTTGCAAATAATGAACTGTGTAAAAATTGTTACTTCAAATCATTCCAAGGAAAGAAATAAAAAATGGTTTCCTCACCTTTAACATGGAGACTACCTGATGTAGTTTGCCAGCTGACTGTGTTCTCTGCGGTAACACTGATTTGAACTGGACCAACAGCTTCAGAATGCATTATATTAACTAATTCATTAGTTCTTGAATATATTGGCTGCAAAATTAGAGTAATACCTAATAAATGAATGTAATCTCCTATTACCAACAAAAAACTATTAACAATTTGGCTAATTACTCAATAGAGATGAAAGTTCTGATGCATACATTGCGGTTCTAATGTCCAAATTTCATGCATTCACAAAAAGCAGTTCATACTCTTTAACATATCCCAAGCCAAAGGAACTCACATTTTCTGCCTTTACATTCCATATATATGACACATCACCAAGTAATGATCTGTTGCCTCGGAGACCATATTTTGTTTGAGTCCAAGCACTTGCATTGTACGGTTTCTTTTGTGCAACTACGGGAGGATGATAGAGATATACTTTTTCTATTGGATCTATAAAAGAAAATTTTACGTAATGCATATCAAAATTAAATTGAAATCTAACTCAGACCTCAGGAATGACAGACTTGATAAACAATAGTATTTTTAAAGTCTCATTGGTCATAGACAACATTGGTCCAAACTGCAAATCATAAAGATTTGTTTTCTATACTTGCATTGTAAAGCTAAAAATGAATATAAATCTCCTTCATATAAACAGTTTTTGGTGAATATGAAACATATTCTTTATTAGATACTTATTCATTACAATAATTCATGGAAAATGTTCTCAAGACTTTGGTAACATTCAAATGTATCCTACTAGAATCATATGATCACTAATATTTTCTGAGAATTGCCGAATTCTTGCAACTGTTCATAAGGTCGTGTGTGTGAAATCGGTTGAAATTTTCAATCACCGAAGGTTATACATTTGAAACAGACAATTGGTCAATAATTTTCCATATGATTAATGAGTATTTGCTTGTCTATAGTCAGCAAGCAGTTTAACCACGATAGTGACTCATCAATTACCGACTTAATTCTAGTGTTCTAGAGCTGTCTCTACAGTTACAAAGAATTTGTCATCATGGGAAAGTTAAACACTCACACCAAAATTCAACTATTATCATATTTGAAAACTTGTTGTTGTCTCTCAATGATAGCTGCACCCTATATTTTCCAGGCTCCTCTGGAAGGAAAGTGAAATTCCCAGATTGCTTGCCACGTTCTTCAGCTTTACTGAAAGGTTGCGGCCTCAGCACATGCCAAATAACATCATCATCAGTTCCACCCTAATACGAAGAAGAAAGTAAATATTTACAGTTTTCTTACTTTCCCCAGTACTTGATTGTGTGCAAACCTAGATTACAGTAGAAATGTTGTATGGTATCCAAGTTTTCAGACTCAATTTATCAAATATTAATATTTTTACCCAGTATTGGGTATTCAGGTCTAATTAGGCAAATGCCATGAATTTCTGAACAATTCTGCTATATTCAATGTAACGGCCAATATTATATTGTAGACATCCAGGCACTCAGTTGAAAGTATTACTTTTAGTGAATAGTTCTTATGCTAAAGATTGATTGATCAGAGCAATTTCTCACATAAATCTTTTAAATGATAAATTTGCTTCAGTGTAACCTTGTTGTCTGCTTTTAATTCATCCATGAAATAATTTAGGTTGGTATCCACTAGAACAGGGGTTCTCAACCTGGGGTTCACGAGAAGATTTCCAGGGGTACTTGGATGGCAGTCGAGTTTTTGTGTGTTGCTGTTTTTTAATATCCTTTTATATTACTACCAGGGGAAAATGCGCGTGGATTGAAACTAGATGCCTATTGATACGTAGATTTTCTCTGACGTTGCGTTGTTGTGATTGTGACGCAGCAATGTGAAATTTACGGCTTTGCAGGCAAACTGTGTAATCTCAAAAGGCATTGGAGAAAGTGACTATGCTTAATAAAACTTGGGAGAGATTTTAAGAATTCATTAGCCAGGCGGAGGACAAAGGCAATAATATCAACACGAAGATTTAATTTAGTTTCATTTGGTTAATGAATTGTTGTTTCAACAAATCGTTAGTCAATATGTCACAACTCTGTTCAGTGTCTGATTACCGGGGGTTCGCGTTGATTGTTTCATGACTCGGGGGGTACTTGACAGAAAAAAGGTTGAGAACCCCTGCACTAGAAGGTCGATTTGGGTATACACAAGCAATTGAGTAATAATTATGACAAGAACCTTGGAAAACTATTATAAATAACTCAGTAGATACCAAAGGTGGGCCAAAAGTAGGATAACGGTTATCCACAATTACTAATTAAATAACAGTTGGCCTATTTTCGGTCCACCCTATATATTGCAAAGTTATAACCTGAATAGAAAAGACAAGATTTTCTCCAATTTTGGCATTGCTGGTTTTGTTCACAAGTTGAATTTTAACATTGGCAGCAGGATTTACAGTTGTGGTAGGAACTGTCGTATGAGGGCTACAGTCTTCAATTTTCCAGAAAATATTCTCAACTTCATGTTGACATTTGTCACCAGGAATCTTTCGAATCCTTACATAGAGAAAAGAATTTTTTTGTTATAAAATTAACACTTAGTCGAGTCACCCATACACATCGTTTGATCTTTATTATTCACAGCATTTCCATATAGGCTATACCAACAGGAACGATGAAACAAAAATGAACGGATGAGAAGGTGGTGCGAAATCACAGTGGCTCCTAAGATTCATTTTTCTATGACAGAGCTGGGCTTCAGCTCCATCTCCTGTCTTTAGGCTTAATTACAAATATGAAAGAATAAAATGCTTACTCTATCTCTCATTGGATCAAAACTGACAATTTACATTAAATTCTTTCGCTATTTGGCATCATTATTATTGAGGGTCTACATCAGGGGTCGGGAACCCATGGCTCGCGAGCCATATATGGCTCTTTTGGTAACGGTATATGGCTCCCAGAGAAATCTAATATTCTAGGGCTAAGATTACTATTGTTACGAGATTTCAAACTCTTTTATAGCCAAATTTGTCAATACGTTTGAGAATGCGCGCCCAGCGCATGTCTATGTTATGTAAGGGAATTACCAGACAGGCATTGTGACGAAAATAGGTGAATCTGTAAAATCTATTGTGACATCACAGAGCGATGGAGCGATGGAGGAACAATTGAGAAAAGCATTTCGTCCGTTTGTACGTGCTGGTTACAGTATTTGTCATATTTAGATCGTACTAGCAAAGCTAGCTAGTAAAATACTACGGAGATGCCTGAACGAAAGAAGGGTGATGAGTAACGTAGATTTCAACTTGTGCTGTATGTGAGCCTGATTAAGTGAAGAAATGCTATATGGCTCGCTAGGAAATGCAATTGAAAATATGTACCTTTTTTGGCTCTCTTGACCAAAAAGGTTCCCGACCCCTGGTCTACATAAACCAAAGAATATCATTCTATGACATATTTAAGGCCCCATTCTTTCATTTCTACCACACATGGTAATTCTTTATTAAGACACCATCAACTTGAATATTAAATAACTTTAGTTTCATTATTTTTTGTATGGCAAAGCCAGTTTTTATTCCTGTTGGTAAAAACTGAATCGCTCTTCTTCTAAACTAGAAACACAAGTTGATTCAAAATAATTTGAAAAATAATTGAAACATACTTTGCAGCATACCTAGAACATGTTGTGAACTTACCCAGTAGACACATTACGTTTCCCATTCTTGCAAGTTGTAAAAATGTTGGTTTCATAATCAGCTAAAGTATTTTCACCGACATTGTCTATCAATCCAATCCGCTGTTTCTTACAAGAAAATTGACCATCTGGTCCATGAACTGATTCATATTCCAGATCACTGTAAATAAATTTTAATTTTTTTCCTCAAGTAGGATCCGTATATAATCACACAAAGGCCAAATACAGAACAACAGCAACGTTTATGTGAATACATAAACTATGGCAATTCAAAATTTTCAAAAAATCACATTTACAATTTTCTGAGAAATACTGTTTCAATAGGTCATTACTACCAGTAGTATTGGGTATATTATTAGTTTTCATCCAGATAAAATTAACGAGGTCACAATCACTCACAATACAATGAATTACAACAATAAAGTACCATAACTGAGACATCAAAAGACAAAAATGCATCAAACCAACATTACTTAGTTTTCTCACCCATAAGATGATGTGACAGACACCCAATTATTGAGAACACAATTAGGTTAAATTTGATGGTATTAAAAAAGAGTCATTATAGTATTTGAAATATAATATCGAAGATTTTAGTACAAAATCACAGATTTGCATTGCATATATACCCATGTCCCTTTTTTGTTTATACGTATACTTGGAAGCTAACAACATCATGATATTGTTTAGAACAGGGTTCACCAATCTATCTGAAGCAGAAGGCTACTTCCTGGATACTAGTTGAAAGCACACTTCTGAGAATCTAATTTATTCGATCAAGCTTAAACTACTATTAATGACACTCATGCCTCAAGCTAACCCCATGTGTGTGATGTCATAATTGAAAGAGTATTAAATGATCAATGACATATGGATAAGGTTGGTTATTACAATAATCAATATATTATCATTTTCATTTCCATGTAAGTGTGATTTGAACAAGAATAGCAAGAACAATATTAACAAATGCAGCTCACTGAAAAGCGTCGCTATTTAGGTAAATTTTAAAACAGACCTGCAGGTGACCCATGAGGTCCCTACGGGCGACTTGTTCGGTATATTGTTTTAACAAGGAAAAATATTATGGCTAGGCATAAATCCACAAAAGATCCACTGTTCAACACTAATTCAATGTTGTGTTTCTGTGTACTCTTCACATGATGAGTGAACATAAGAGAAACATGAAACCAACTCGGGATGGGATACTGTATAACAGAGATCAAAATCAAAACATTTGCAATAGATAAGGTAACATTGCGACCGACCAAAATTACAAAAAAAAATCAATCGAAAGTAATACCATTCATAGTCCTTGAATGAGCATTTGCATATTTTTTTTGTTGTTATGCGCTTGTAATTAGATGGAATCAGACATTGTAAATCATCTCTCAGCCTCTCAGATTTTTGAATTAAACCCAGATGACAAGTATCGCTAGCGATTTGCTGAAATAAAGATTTAAAATGAATAGGCGTAAAACGGGAATATTGAATTTGTCTGAAAACTATTTGAAAATCGGGTGCTCTCGAAGTATGTGTACCAAGATGGCGCACAACCTGAACATAGTTTGTGTACCAGATTAGGGTTACCAGGTTGTGCACAATCTGTGTAGATATTGACATACAGCAAGCATCAAACAGCTGATTGTAAGTTCTGAATATTGAGTAGAGATGATCATTCAGAAAAATGCTTGATTACCCTTGCCATCTATTGACATTCTCTCTTATATACATTTCCACACAGAAGGATTAGTTGTCTATAATCCAAACTCAAAGTCATGGTTCATAACTTCATATACACACATATAATTATTTTTATCTAGAACTTTTTTCACAAAAAGATTAACAACAGAAGGGTGGTTTTATTACACAAATTTAAGCATTGCACCACCGTCTGAATGTGATCGAATTGTGAGCCCATATTACGACTTTCCACCTAAATCCCAAGATAATAAATACTTTTTCATTTTTCAAGAACTCAAATTCTTTTATCATGACATATTTCTCAATCCACACAGATCCCAAAAATATGATGATATGCTAGATATCGTACTTACAGTAGGAAATGTAATATTTATGAAGTCAGCTGGATATTTACAGGGATGTGAAAAAAGAGGACTCATGTCAAGTTGAAATATTCTCCAACTGTCTGAATATGTCTTGTGTCCAAACAAACTTAAAACAAGAAACAATTAGTGAATTATATGATCCGATAGCTAGTAGCAAGATTGTAGGTCAGTGGTTCTCAACCTTTTATAGTTCGTGGCCCCCTTCCAGCGCCTTTTTGCTTTTGTCTGACGAGGTAGGTTCCTAATATTAGGCACCGTCTTTGATATAGCCAGACGAATGTCACTGTCAACCTTCAAACGGTTTTGATGCTAACAAGTTTAGAAAAACCAGATTCGCACAAATAGATTGTGATAAATTGAAAAATCAGAAACCGATATCAAAGTCTTTCATCTACATAATATGATTTTTGTCACTTCACTTTTGGAGTTTAGGTGGACGTAATGATTCACTGCTCATTACATACGAGTAATGCAGGCATTGAAGACATTCTCTGTCATCTCGAGTTACTTTGGTAAAGCCAATGTAACTGTCGTTTCATTTTCGTATTTTGGGCATTAGGAATTTACATATAGGATTTTGCGTCTATAATGCGAAAAACGAAAGTTATCTCGCAGTCTAATGAAACCACCCGTCTGCAGGTTAGACGGCCTACCAGCGAACTATTTCGATTGGTGGATTCCAAATTCCAATATTATCAAACAATTCACGCACGAGCAAGTGAATACACCCAGTGGACGTCAGAACGGGGAATTTTATTTTAGTAGGAAATTATGCAAACGAAGTCGCCTTATGAATTATGATCAATTCTTAGCCTTGTGTCATGGCCCCCGGTTGAGAACCACTGGTGTAGGTTTTTCGCAATGCTAATGAGTTAACTGCAATGAGTTAAAATTTACGACAAGAAATTCAAGCATTTTTAACAATCAATTAAAAAGTCTCACATACGTCAAACTAGAAGTTGAAAGTGGAAAAATTTTCGGGTCATTTATCAAAATATTCAGAGATGGTAACTGGAATCTACAACCTTTCATACAATGTTGGTATCTCAGGATATATCTATACTAAATATCTAAATTAGGTGACTGTTTACTAAGTTAAGGATTGTGCAACCTGGGTGACATTGTCCTATGCGGTCACAAAATCGGGCATGTGCAAGAAACTTGCTAATTTTAATGTTCCAAGGACAAACAAATTTGCACTTGTATATAGCATGTCTTTTCTCTCGTAATAGCACCCCCCTGCATATTTACTTGCCCTAAATGCTTTTATTTAAGTGTTTTAATAAAAAGTAGCCTACATCATTTAAAATAGATGTGATTTGCAGTCATTTACTACTCCGGAATACAAAAATCTGTGAAGTTGTCGTTTCCCAGAAGTGCAGTATAAGATAATATTATCCGCAATTAATTACGAGATACACACACTATATAAAAAAGACTACATAAAATGTCTTGAAACCATTTGGCTTCACATACGTTAGGAAATGTGTGTTCTCGCCAGGTTCTGTCAATATTCCATCAACATTCACAGCTTCATTCGATTCAGCAAACTGATAAGTGTTCCACTTTGCACCATAATCACTACTGAAACTAAATACAATAACAAATGGAAATCGTAAAGTTCAATACACAAACAAAAATATGGATATGAGTTGGGTTGTGCGAAACTAACTTCCTATCTTTTCTCTATGCCTTTATGCTAGTGGATCCGTATGCTTATACTGCAAGGATGCTGTAGCTAGAATAAACATGACCATTCTATCCAATTAAAGAGTCCAGCTGCACACTAACACAAATGTATTTCTTTAACGTTTTGTCCGACCAGAGTCAGACTTCCTCAGACAAGTGTACAACAATGGCAGGAAATAAATAATTGATTTGAGATTTCAAATTTATTTATCAAATTTATTTCTTGCCATTGTTGTAAACTGCTTGTCTGAGGAAGTCTGACTCTAGTCAGACGAAATGTTACAGAAATACATTTGTGTTATTGTGCAGCTGGACTCTTTAATTGAATAGAATAGAAAATATGGATACAGACTATTTTCGGAATATTCATGGTTGGTTGAAAAAAATGGGAGACAATTTTGAATTATTGTCAAATATTCAAGCAGATATAACAAATTTTATTTCAGTCCCTGCCATCTTTTAGCAAACTGCCAACAATTATTGCAACTAAAGTAAAAATTTTCAGACAGAGGGGAAAATTACAGCTGTTATATCAGAATTGTGCTACTCGCCTCCATTTTCTCAACATCGTTTGGTGTCTAATTGGTGTGTAATACCCCATTAATCGTCAAACCACTACCCCACTGCCCCTACCCCACTAGTCAGTGGTATCCATATCGGATTGTTTGATCTCCATTGCACAATATATTGGCCAGTTATTAGGCGCTCGTTGAAAAGAAATGATTTCAATAGCACTATTGTAAATGTACATTCAACACCCCACTTGTACGTAGAGTATGACCGTATGATATATAAATATATAATACTAATATGAATGATGGTACAAATCAATTTTCTTCTGATGACATCATGAACAGAATGAAATAATGAGTCTTGAAAGAAAATGAATATAGAAATTGTAGATAATTCAACTAAAATGAAGAATATTATGCATTATATATTTCTCCGGATGCTCCTTTTCTTATGACTGTCTCATCTAGTAATAACTATTGGCAGCATAAAATAATGGTTGCCCATGCATGATGCATGTAACACTTTCTTCCCCCAAACGGCCAATTATTAAAAGCTTTTTATCAGTGTCTTGGAAGCAGGGGGAAAATTGTGTAACTGCTTTATATCAGTGACAACACGATTACAAGAGTTGGGTGGTGTTAAGCTTCCTAAGGTGATAAAACACTGAATAAAGTAAACCAAAAAAACTGATACACTTGATCGACTAACTGACAATTGACCTCTGTCATTGCTTCGAGAAATAGACCATAAACTTAGGAAAAAATTATGAAAAATGTGTCAAAATTAGTGTTACTTTTTTAATCTATTTTACAATAGGAATATGTGAAAAACAATTTGTTAAAAGATTTGCACTTCCAATAGTAACACAGTAGACAATAATAAACAAACTTACTCCAAAGTATTAACAGCTTTCAGAAAAATCATTCTTATAGCAACAATAATGGCACCATGATTAGCAACTACCACCAGATGTCGCTGTTTCCTGGCCAATGTCCAACTTCTGCCGTTGTCATTACTTACAAACAACATGACATGATTTGGGTTGTCATCAACAGTTTGACCGATTGTACCTAATGTAAAACAAAATAAGATGAACAATAACATTGTGACAGCAGAAGCAAGTGCTTTCTTACATTAATAAATGAAAGCTTATACCAGTGATCAGAATTTACTGACAAAGCAATGAGCTTCAAAATGTTTTTATCTATAAAATATAAAAAACAAAAAATTTTATTAGTCGTAAATTGTCATATTTACAGATATATGGTGATTAGGAATAGCAGTTGGATAGGCTATTTATGTTCTTCCTATATCAGTCAGAATCTGATTTATTTTATTTGTCATTTCAGTGACATTCAACAACAATAAGTATAATAAGTATGAAATGACGAATTGCTTCGTCATTGGGTCTACAACACCTTGTGATAAACAAAGAAATAAATTATGAAATCGAAAGAGCAGTAACAGTATATAACAATAGAATTACAATAATGTTTGGTCACTAATTGGCATACTCCTACTGGTTACAGAATTATGCTATATGCTGGGGATACAATCTTCAGATTACAATTATCTTCATATTATACAATGTTGATACATGATATGAGCACACATGATATTTTAAGAGAGATGTTCATTATATTCCTCCATCAAAGCTTTAAAAACTATTCTCTTGGACAAAGGGAGCAACCAGAATATGGGGTGTAGCAGAGCCTATATGATGATATCCCTAAAGCTGGGTTGAAAACAAGACTTTGGGGCCTATGCATGTATGCATACATAAGCAGTGCAAGTATGGCTATGAAGTATAAAAAGTGCTTCTTCTATATCAGTAATCTATTTTGTTTCATGTGAGGTAATGGCACTTCACCTTTAGTCAGACTTGCCTGAAATAATTGTGGTAAAAAACTAAAAATTCACGCACCATGAGCAATAATCAGTCCAGGAACACTCTTTTTGGAAATGATTGCTGGCATGTAATATCCAGATTTTGTTTGATCCATCATTAAATGAAGATTCAATCGACAGTCTTTCTGCAAAACAATCCAGTTTCCGATTTTCATTGAAGGAACACGTATTGATTAGTTCACAATTCAAAAAACGATAACTGGATATTTTCAGGTGGTCATTTTTGTGAATTTTGAAGAAGTGTGATTTTGATGTACAAAATACACCAATTGTACAAACAAAATTCAAATGGGAAAGGACGGTTTGAATAACAATTTTTTTTTGATAAACTGAAAATTAAATCAATTTATGAATATTTTCCTCAGCTATGACATAGAAATAATAATCTAACACATTTTATTCCAACAATTTTACTAACAATTATATCCAAACAATTGAATGAGCTGCAGCAACCATTATTATCGAAACTGTTGTAAGGCATAGAATATTCTTTGGATTTAACTTGAAAATTTGGAAAAAGTAAAAGAAAATCAGTATTGAAACGCACTTATAGGATTTGAAAAACATATTTACACATTGTAGGAATTACTGTAAAAAAATACTCACACACATCGTGGAGCTGAGACCCCTAACATCAGTTAGATTTGACCATGATTGGCCATTATTCCACGATATCCTTGTTGTGTTATGACCATCAGGAGCATGAACATTCGCAATATATGTTCCAACAATACCTTGAACCTATGAATGATATTTTTATCAGATTTTGAGTATTATATCTTTTTCAAAGTGTAAAGAGTGTAAACGCAGACAAAAATTGGTGGTTTTGAATATCTGTTTCATAGCATAACGGACGCAGCACTTAATCGATGTTAAGTTGTGAAAACTCAACCGAATTATTGCCAATATTCTTCACATTGGATTCTGTATAAGTCAGGCAAAATTGGGCTCATCTCAACAAAAAATATATAACACCATGGTCAATAATAACTTGAACACGAAAACTGTTACCAATGATGGCAAAAATTTTGTTATACAATAATATGAAGTCATGTCTAAAAGTATGGTATACCTCATGAACATCAGCAGTGTAAACTTTGTTATCTGATGTTTTTCTATTGTAATATCGAACATTACTCAATGACTGGCGAAAATGTTCTCCTTTAAGATCGGAAAAGAATAAGTGTGTCAAACCATTGTCATGATTGACTCCCATAACGACACACTCTCCATCAGAACTGACAACATGAAAGTGCTAAAATACAAAGCACAAATACTTAAAAAACCAAAATGCAAAAATGTGTCCAATTGTATACTGCCGGGCTGCACATTTCATAGGTAGGCTACAACACGATTGAAAAAAATTTAGTGTTTTTGTGACATTTATATATAAAGAGGGTTTTGGTTTTCTGAGTGTCCTTTTCAGTCTGCTCAATTAAATGAGATAGATGGCTATCATTGAATCTGCTTAGAACTTTCTCATTAACATACAGTGGCATAAATACACCTCATACATATTTTTGAAATAACTTTATTCAAGACTAACTATTCTCTCCCCTCGAATATTTAACATAATGGCTATCCATCAAAAACGTTGCTATTAAATTCTATCAACAAATAGGGTACGTACTATTATACTTACCGATTGGGCTTTTCCAGAATAAAAAGGGAAGCGCGCTCTGACAAACTCTCCACGGTTGTATGATACATAAAGTTTAACAGCAGCTCCTGCTTTCTATTTTTATATAAAAAAAAAATAAAAAAATAGCCATTTTTGTCTACAAGTAATACAGTAATTATATGAAAAATTTTTTAAACTTTCGTCATGTTTGTGTGCACTCGAATATAATTTCTATTTCCAACATTGGTAGGTGTGAAGCCAGGGCTGGGGTGCCGAAGCTGGAGGCAGAGCCAGGAGCCATGGAGTTGTGGCATTTTTATAAATTTATATTTTGAATCAAATCGAACTTTAAATATGAAATTTTTATCTCTTATATGATACTTTTGAGAATAGCCCACATTATTAAAATACATCAATTAAAAAAGTGGGTGCAAATCACCCCTGTGCGAGACAGTTTTGGCCTCCACATCAGCAAACCAGCACTGTGCAATAAACTAAAAGGAACCGCAATCTAAAAACGTCACCATTTGATTCCTCAGAAAAAAAGAATCCGATTTACTGAAAAAAAAGTTTTTAGCAAAAAATGTAATTTTTGGCCAGCCGATGCACATCACGATTGATTGGTATTACTACACCGTGAAACGAAAAAAATCTCTTTGTTTCCATGTTTCCATTTGAAATATCGTGAAAATGGGGGGAATTCCCCAAAATCTGTTTTTTCTGTGACATAAAACAGCGTAAAACTTTCAATATAACACGGGCTGGCCTGAAAAATAGATTTTTTTCCTAAATTTCCAACTATAGTCCAAGTCAGTTCGCGAATATGTGGTAACCCATCGTTCACAATTCAATTATGCCACAATAATGTGCCAAAAAGGTAAATTTTGGCTTGGATCAGATGTTGGGTCACATTTAATGTCACCTGTACCGCCAAAAAATTCAATTCTTTTTAGTACTTTGTTCCTAGAAACAGTGGAATTCATCAGATTAGTCAGAATCACCAAGCTACGAAAACGTCATCAAGACGGAATTTCTTTTCCAGAAAGAATGATCGTTTGCTCATGTCACATTTTATATAGCGGTATCATTTTTAATGCTATGTGGGGTCCAAGGACTGGTATCTCGAAGGACTGGCGTTCCCATTGAGAGGTCTATAGCCTTAGTTTAAAAACAGGGCTGAGAAGCTGGTTCGAAATCATGATGGCTCCGGCTCAAGCTCCGGAATTGGAAAATATTGAAATGATCATAACCAAATAGCATAAGTGGCTTTTTCACGTATTTGAGTCTTTCCTACAATAATTAGCTAGGTGAGGCTATGCAGCAGTCTGTCTCAAGACTTTATCACATGTAAAAATGCTCAAAAACGTATTTTTTAACTTTTTGACTCCTGATCTTTCAGCATACCTGGGCAAAAACATAAGAATCCTGAACCACCAATGAATCCATATCTATATTTTCAAGTTTATCGAAAACTTTCTGAAATGGTGCATCATGACAATCAGGAATGTAGCATGACCGCATCTTGTATATTCCTTAAAAATATTGTTTGTATCGTTATGACGGATAACTATCAAATTGGTTTGTGAATATGGGGTTAATCAATATCAAAAGCTCACCACAGAGGAAATTTCTGCTAACCAGAGAAAGTAATTTCAATAATACATATGATATCAAATGTTTTCACGTCTCAAGAAAATCTAGCCTAAACGATAAAAGAAAAAGTTATTAATTAATCTTACATGCATCATATCTGAAGGATTGATAATCATCATGTATAAATGAATTAATCATAATTGAAACAAGAAAAGTTGATGTTAATGGCAGGATAGCTTGCTGCAATATCTATAAATTTTCCTTACTGCTTATTACTGAAGGTAGAAGAACATTTCTGTATTCGAAGTGAACAATTTTGTCTGCGTCGGGGCCTTTGTCAATGTCTTTAACATACCAGAAGTATCTGAAAGTATGACCACGGATGATACAATATTTTAAACACAATATTTTAAAAGCGATAATTCATTAATAAACATAAATTCTCATTTGTCACTATACAAAGAGCAACGAAAAATACCTTTTGATGACATTTTGAAATCATTATTCAGTAGAGATTCAAAAATATGTTGGAAAAAAAGAAAATTGTCGGCACAGGCTCAGGAATAACCTTGCACGGTATTCATAGATGCTAGTCAATATTGAACGCTGGGAAATGACATTCAAAAACAGGTTTCGCACTACTGGAGAAATAAACCTTTATGCTGACTATTACTGCTTGAAATCATTATTCATTCTTCCCATTCGTCATTTTTAAACGAAAAAAAAAAACTGTAATTCATAGAATGCGTGACCCGCTACCAAACTGAAATATACTGCCCCAAAAGGCATTTTAGTTGGACATGACTGTATTAGACAGATGAAAGGCTTATTAATGATAAAAACTATTGAGAGTAAAAGTGATGCCTTTCTTACATTGCTCGACTGGTGTAATACGCCAATCGAAAGAATACCAGATTCATCACCCCGAAATTAATTTAGAAAACGAACAACTCTGCTTCCAACATCAAAATCTTTTCTTGATCCAAAGATTGTTACAAATATAGGGCCACATTCAAAAAAGCGTGAAGATACAACAATATAATGAAGGAGCTGAATAAGTTGTTCTTGGGTCTTGGGTCAGTAGATCAATATGAAACCTCCAGTAACGAGTAGCACAACAAATCCTATTAATTGTCACGTCACATCTACCAGTCTGGTTTAGCAGTTGGTATTCGATCATGTTACCTTGTAGATCAGTGGTTCTCAACATTTTATGGCTCGTCACCCCCATACTGGCGCCTTTTTGCACTCGTGGCCCCCCTGTTGACCATACGAGCAATGCAAACATTGAGCACATTCTCTATCGTCTCGATTTACTTTGGTAAAACCGGAGCCAACATAACTGTCATTCTGCTTTCGTATTTAGGATATTAGGTATTTACAAATGGATTTTCATGTCTATAATACGATGGCTAAGGTTATCTCGTGGTCTAGGGAAACTGCACGCCTAGACGCCCTACTGGCAAACTATTTTGACTGATACTTTCCAAATTCCAATATGATCAAACAATTCATGCACAAGAATGCGAATACACCTGCGATCACAAATAACCTATTATGGGCAATGAAACTGTGGTAAACGCCTGAACAGAGAATTTTATTTTAGAGGGAAAGAATGCAATATAAGTCGCTTTATGATCAATTATTAGCCATGTGCCGTGGCCCCCCTCAAACCATTGACCCGCGGGTCACAAAGTGACCCACCGCGTTTTATTCGTGGCTGCCAAGGCACGAATAAAATGAAAAAACTATCATATCAGTGATAAAAATTGATAAAATTGGCTTTAAATTAATCTAACAATAACTAAACTATTATAATATACAGTCAGTTGGGCAGTCAGGGCTGCGATCGCTCATATGTAAATTTCCGTGCCGGTATGGTAATTTTCAAAACCCCTAATCTTGGACACAAGTCTGCACTGCTTTGTACCGTTATTCAGCTATTGGCTGTGACATCGTTTATGACATAACAATGCAATTGCTCTGTTCATATATCTTAACGTCTTGTCTCCTTCGGAGGTGAATCTGCAGACTGTTTTAGGGGTTATACGAGATAGAACTAGATGCTACTTTGCATTTTATTAGTTTCTCGTCTACAAGGCCGTTGAGAAAACATAATCTTTCAGACTTTAAATAAAAACCTAGAAATCTGAAATAACAATCGAACAGTGTAAAAGTGCCGTAATTTGGTTGAAAGCTTATCAAAAAATATAACGCTATGAAAGTGGAATTCCCTCCAAACTCTTTGGAATCGTAAAGTAATTTACTGCATCATCCTAAACAATTAAGGTAATTCATATGCGTTTTTTCGCACTCTAAATTCATGAAATCGAGTACCATAAAAAGTCCCTGATAGAAGTGCTACATAAGTACCCCAATCCCAAAACTACACCAACAGAAGCTTATAAGATTTGTTTCAGAAGTTTCCTATAGATACAAACATTGATTAAATATCTGTGACCCACTCTCTTCTGTTCCGCAATAAAAATAAAATTTTTGACCCATTCATTGAAAAAGGTTCGTCAATCGTCATCCCTGGGTTAGGCCATTATTTTATTCCAATTTTCCTTATTTTAGTTCTATTACGAGTTCGGGGACTGTTTGTATTAGCCAAGTGTATATAACCCCTGCCCATAGACCCCTTGTCTCTTTACACAACTTGATGTAAAGTAGGCGAACAAAATTTGTTACCTCCATATTACCACACACACTTCTGGAGCGCAGATGTTTGTACAGGGTCGTCCTATGAGTGTTCTTATTAACTTATTAACTTACCGTATTTCCCGGCAAATAAGACGCTTTTCTAGACCCGAGTTTTTGACCATATTTTAGGGGGGGTCGTGTTATTAGGCAAGTATGATAATTTTTTCGGTGTCGCCTTATTACTCAATTCGTACCATAAAATACCAAATACCATCGGAGATAGCATTCCCACGTCCTCATCATTGCCATGTTATTTTAGATGTTCTTATATGGTGGACGCAATCGGGAGTTAGGTTGAACACAATTAGATTAAAATTGAAAGACGGTTTGAATTCTCGTAGTTGTTATGGATTGAATATTACGCTACAAGAAAAGTCATTATATTTTAACTAATGCGCGCCACCGCTCAAATGTCTCTGCATGGTAATTTGAGATTCCGATGTTGATGCGATTTTACTACCGGTCTTATTGGCAGGTTATATGCAAAAACCCATCGTCTCGTCTTATTTACCGGGTAGACTTGTTCGCCGGAAAATACGGTATATTATTCTGAGCTTCTCGAACATGTTCAGAAAATGTTATCTCTTTTATCGTCTATGACGATTGACAAGCGATGACAGAATGTCTGAAGCAAATAATAAACAGAATTGCTTAGAAGGCATGGTTGATTAATAAAAAATTATCAGCTGCTACTTGATTGAAGAGAATGTCGCCAAAAAATATATCACAAAATAATATTCATTCTCTGACTGACAAACACCCTCAAAAATGATGTTTATTCATTGTTTGGTAACAATTAATCTGAAGTCAATTTTGAACAAATTTATTTATCGCTGTACTTATACCACATGATTGTTCTATTCTTGTCATTGTTGTAAATAGTTTGTCTGAAAAAAACGTTACAGAAATACATTTGTATTCACATTTTTGAGCGCATTAAATAAAAGGACAAATCACAAATTGCACTTTTGGAGCATTGCTTTGATTCAAGCGTAACACCCTCTTATAAAAATCCTGGCCAAGCTGCTGTTTGCCCAGATAAAGATTTACAAGGAGTGATTTATGCACTATTGCAGTTGGAAAGAAATTGAATATATCAGGATCAGTGTTCACTATTAGCGCACTTTTTTGCTAAAAGTGCGAAACAGTTTGACGGGTAAAAATTCAAAGTTGACAAATATTTTCCTGTGAGTATGAAGTTGACAAATAAGTTGCGTACTAGTACATTTGTAACCCAATTTTGCATTACATAACGATATTTGCTGGAATTCTAACCTATGTGGTGCATACATTGGAGATAAAGCTTTTGCGTTAACGGCAAAATTCTTGTTCACCAAATATAAAATGAAAAAGCTATTTTTGCAACAGGAATCTTTTACAATCATGACGAATGAACAGAAAGAAGGATGTACGGTAACTCACGCTGAATAAGTGGCATATTTATATCCGAATGAAGTTTAGTAGAATACGCTTCACAAGTTCACAACAACTAACAAATTTGACATACCTTTCACTTGTTACTTCATTTCCCAACTTCGTCCAGGTGGTTCCAAAATCCAATGAGCAATATAACTAAAAATTGAAAAACAAAAATTGGTCCTAACACTCCTAAGTAACCATGCAGTCTTATTAAATAAGTACGTAAATTGAATGAGTTTTAAAAAATTGATACTGGAAACAGAAAGTGTCTATCCTGTTCCAACACATATTGTGGAAATCACAGCAAGGTTCTAAACGTGTGTCAACATTGGACGATAGGATTCCAAAAATATTTATTTTTTTGGGAGTGCAAAATAAATCTGACAAAGTGTTTGGCGATGTAACTTTGTATTTTTTGAAGGACTGTCATAAAAGTATTCAAATTACACGCAAATAATATTTGATCTAAATTTATCGCAAATAATGTTTTAACATTTACCGCCTGGCCCTGGCTTTTGGTTTACATCTTTTTTTTTTGGATGAAATATTTGGCCGCAAAAAATCTTTTAATTAAGGTAAAATGAGACATGGTAATCGGAATATCACTAGTAAGTCGGCATCAATATTTATTATATGTTATCTAGATCATCGTACCTAGTACCATCGCCCAGATCCTAGTACCATCGCCCCCCTATAGTAGTTTATACAACTTCAACGCCCCCCCCCCCCCCCGGCACTGCAAAAAAAAATTTGAAAGTCTGAAACAAATATATTACAGACCAAATAAGAAGACAAATCATAGTTTATAGTGTTTTTTAATGGGATGGATAAGCTTGGTGTTCTTCAGCGAGTTTTTTATTATATCTGAAATTACCCCGTTTACTGATGGAAAGGCGATTTAGTTGTTTTGATAGAAATAGCAGCACGGCTGAAAACCCCTCTTTCACCATATCAGAGGTCGGAAATGAAAGAATCCAGGGTTCTACCTTCCCAAAGACCGCCATGCACTCTTGCCTTATAGCATTTATCTCCCTAAATTCACCCCATTTCACAACTTATTTTTCAAAACTTATAATAATGATTTTTGTACATCTCATTGATCCCTACAGCCTGATGACCTTCATCAAAATACAAGATATATAACGGTCTTCGGTAAAATTCATCCCCGATTCCTCATCCTACCACGTCCACCATTCCATAGAATCAATCAGCCATTTGCTTTCGATTCGTGGACTCGGATGGCCCAGGGGTCCGCAAATTTTACGCCGCCCGCGAAATTTGGGGTTGCTATTTTTTTGCGGATCGCATATATTTTTTTAAAGTTAAAAACAGAACATCGTGCGAAAACTGCGACAATTTGTGAACTCAACTCAGTCGTCTTATTAAAAAATTATTACAATGACATTTAATGTGTCACTGTCTTGTTGCTGCATCACGCTTGATAGCTTTACGACGCCAGATTGAAAGATTTTCTAAATGGGCACCACTAATGTTAGTTCATTGTTTGTTCTTTGTAATGTTCATTTTCGAAAATAATTGTTCCCACAAATATGTACTTCCAAACATCAACGTGAATATTTTCGCATGGTTTATGAAATTTTGATAAAGATTTTCTTTAAGAAGATATACATTCTTACAAAAATTAAGCAGAGATGAATCCATCGAATAGAATATGAATTTTAATTCTGCGTGTTTCCAGTTGTCTAATTATAATTGAATTGTAGGCTCGTTACACGAGTAGCTATTTAATATAATTTTTAGGATATAATAAAATTTAGTCTAAACGTGTCTCACGATAAATTCTGTTACGTAAAAAAATGTAATTTACTCCTCTAGCATAGATAATAAATAAAATTAATCCATCAATAAAACCGCCCTTTGGATGCTTCCCCTGGCATAGACTTCCTTGTATACTTCATGACATTGGTCATTCAGCAAGATGCAAAAATAAACGTAACAATACCCCCTTTCGCATCCGCTCTGAGCCTCAGACACATTCCCCACGCAGACAGACTTTCAGGCGTGGTCGTGAATAGGGCTGGGCAAAATATTCGAATAACGGATATCGAATCGAATATCAAAATATTCGAATGGCATTTTACTATTCGAATACCCGGTACCACGTGACCTGCGTCGCTTTGCTTCAACACGGAATTCGGAATCGTGAATTGCGCGAGAAATCACAAACGGCGCTCGCTAACATACAAAAGCGACAAATTTTCTTTGCGTTATGATGTTATTTGTTTTCTTTTCACGCCTAACGTATCGTTTCATTTCCTTATTTTGCAAAATAGGTCCTCACCGTTGCTTTAATTTATGAACGTTCTGTAAATTATAAACGTATGACGATGTATTTAAAAAATCGGAAATTCTCATTGCCGTCTGTAACAGTCACCGCGATTACGCACTTGTTAACCTTTCCGTGCGGTGGGCACGTATACGTACCCACGACAAAAGTCGCTAGATTGCGGCGGGTACGCTGATGTACTCCACTGTTTTATTTAGCAATCGGTCGCAAACTGTTGGTCTAGTTTTACGGGTTTTAGTTTATTGATGAGAAGTCTTCTTCGAGATTAACATAAGCGACGATAAATCTCGCTTTCGTTTACAACAGGAATTTTATTTGCGGCGGAACGAGGGAGTGTTTTTAAAATTTATGCGAATTTCGGTGTTTTTTGGGTGGTAATAGAAGACATATTATCCCTTCCATATACCGAAATATTTTGAGTTGGATCACGAAATTGCTACAGCAATATTATGCTATTGTTTGCCAACCACGAAGCGGTAACAGTAAAGAATTTAGCGAATATTTCTATTTTTGTCACGGTTTGAAGTTTCAACTCCCAAGAAAAAAAATGCCTTTTTTCTATCCGGTTTGTGACTCAGACCACCACTTTTGAAAAAACTTTTTTTTTTAATCGCCAATTGCAAGCTCTTTAAATAAGCTTTCCAACGAGCCGTCAGTGGGCAGCAGAGGATCATTAATTTTTCGTTAGTCGATCGATTAGTTGTGGGGGTACAAATGCATAAAATCGGCGTAGCAAATACGATTATTTAATAAAAAATAAAAAATCGCATGGAAAGGGATAAAGAGATGTTTTTTCAGCGTATAATGATTTTTCTGTTGCGTAAAATGATCAATCCATGACAACTACAGGATTCCAAAATGTCTTTATATATTAATTTAATTATGTCAACGAACTCGCGGTTGCTTCTTCCTAATAAGTCAAAATTAAAACATTACTTCTCTGAAATGCCACGGCGATCTGTGGACATAAAAGTATGAGATAAACTGCCGGGTGTATTTAATTTTAATACGTATTTTTGGAATCTTGCGAACTCGTTATCGCCGTTGGAAAAATCTCTAACTGATATAAAATCCCGTAGAGTACAATTTCAATTCGTACAATGAAAATACATATAAAGTATATCGTTTAATCAATAATACATATTCATCGCCGCGATTAGGCCACTTGTTAAAAGAGCCGACTTTTGCAATGAATAATGAGTTTTCTCCTTTGTGCAAAGTAATCAATTTGTGACCGATAAGGGCATATTTAAAATGGTTTGCATCATTATTGTCTTCAATTTAACCAGCGGTTAAGTCGACAAAATAAAATACTCACAATTTTAAAATACGACGGCAATCTGCGGACATGAAGTGCGGTAAACTGCTCGAATATATAAAGCTTTGATTTCCTTATTTTCAGGACTTGTAACATCAAAAATTCCATAAATCTGCCGTAATATCTCAGGTTAAAATTTATCCTAGCACAATAAAAATTGATTGAATATACATTAGATTGATTATCTTATATATATCATCACAACCCAGGGAAAGTTGTCCGTTTCAAACCTTGTATAATGTTGAAGAGAAAATTTTCGACGGCAATTTAAAGTAATGGATAATATGGCCAATCCCACCCACAATTAACAGTGCTTTGATTTTAGTGATGATATGTTTTCTAAACCCCGGCCAAACATAATGTGTGCGAGAGGCACACGAAATTTTGCGATTTTCAATGTCAAAAAGGGGGTTTTAAACTGTCGCAGGCCTCAATAAAACTCAAAAATATTGTTTAAAGTTTTATTTTCAGTATTTTACATTGCCGCTTTTCAATCAAAAAATTTGTGTTGTCCCCAGAAACTCGCCGCCGATGAACGTATATTAATTAAACTATCGCAATTCCGTGTGTGTACATAAATAAAATAATTATCATCGTTAACGTCGCACAACGTTGTGGAAAATTTTTGATTTAGAGAAGATAAAACCAACATAAAGTTGTTTACGGCCTAAATACCACGTCACGCTCATAATAACAATCGGCGATTATAGCAAAATGCTATTGCACGCGTTATTGGCGACTTTTACAGTTTTAAAAAAATTTCAACGGCAACGCACGGGTATACCTAATATATAAAACTTCGATGTCCGCCGACCCGCAAGAATTAATACTTTCAAAAAAAATGAATCGGGCGGGAATACAGATTACGAACTTTAGGATCGCGGCGACAAAAACAATTAGCGATTTTGATGAATTTAACAGGAAATAAAAAACGCTTTGTTGCCGATTTTTCAAAGTTTCTTCTAATTTTCGAAGGGAGTATCGACCTCCGACGGACCCCCGTTGTATTTAAAAAAATATTCGTTATTCAACTATTCGGTATTCGTAAAAAATATTCGAACTATTCGATTCGAAAAAAATATTCGATTTTGCCCACCCCTAGTCGTGAACATTACCTCATTTTCACGATTTTGAATTATATTCGTTAGTTTCGAGTTGAATATGTCAATGATCATCCTAGGAGTTTCAGTTTAATTACAGAAATCAAAAATTAGTGTAGAAATAACTGTGATAGACTAGGATAAAATTCTTTACCGGTACTTTTAAAAAAACAGATTGTTGAATGGTATGAATTAGAATGATAGTTTGAAACAAATACTCCATTTTATAGACAACAACTCGCGAAACCACTCTTAAAATAAGCACCAAAAAAATAAATTGTAGTAAATAAAGTAAAGGAAGAATTTACCGGGGTCAAAGGTCGGGAAAAGGTCCATTCAGTGAAGCGTCCCGGGCCAGATTACTACAGATTTCCCGACCACTGCGATATGCAAACTACCGTACCTTATTACTGCGAAGACGAGTCCAGCAATCCTTTCGCGTGTGACATTGTCCATGTGATTCAAACTTACGAAAGCACGCATACTACAGTAATCAAGTGCACGATGCGCCGACCAAAAACAGGTTTCGAGAAATCGCCCCCTTTGACTTTTAGGCCCCCCTTTGTATCGTTTTCGCCCACTGGGGGGCGATATCGCCCACTTTGGGAATCACTGATCTACATACTAAAATTGTTAAACGCAGAAATTGGCAACCATGTATTTCGCCTTGAGGTGTTTGTTTGAGGTACTGTGTTTGATTTGCGATGCTTTTATGGGAGCTTACAGGCTAGTTATTATTGGGCCTATTTTTCATAATTTCTTCAGCCGTGTTGCTGTCGATTTTCTTTTCTGTGCCACAAATTTTCTTCTGCTTCAAATTTTGGCCAGCGGGATCAATCAATTTTGGGAAGCACTGACATGACCTGACGAGGAGGCATGTTTTCGCCCCCGTATCGTATTTTATGGTCCAAATTGAATAATAAGCCCACCCCGAGAAAATTAAAATTAAGATTCACCATACTCGCCCAATAAGACTTCAGGCAAAAAAAAAATTGGTTCTAGAAAAGAGACTTGTGATACGGGGAATACGGTATTTGATTGCACACTGCTATTAATTTTTTTTTGAGAAAGTGATTTACAGATGTGATATTGTTTACAGCAATACAGAATTCTGCAAACTACTATTAATAATCCTATAAATATCAATTTATTATCTGAGGGTGGGTATTTCAAACTGGGCCCTTGTCCTGTGGCATTTTTTGCTTTTTACACGCTACTATTAAATATTAAAGCCCCATTGAAAAATAAAATCACAACAAATGAGAGCAAATAAATGAATGCATCACAGTCAAAGACTCTAACGAATCACAGTTAATTTATTTAGATTAATAATGTAAATATGGCGAGTGGTACCTAGTTAGGATCTCTGCCCCAAAGAACCGCTCCTTGGCCTCGAGCAAAAATAGGTGTTTTTTTATAGAATAGCCTCCTAACTAACCAGCAAGACAAAATCTCTATTGCTTTCAATCTATGTGGGTAACTAGGCCATCTAATAGTATCACTTATAAATGATATAGCCTACCGATGATCAACAGTGATGGCGATGGATATTGAATATAATGTAATACAAGCTGAAGAAAAATTAAAAAAACAAAAAGCAGCAAAAAGGCCCACCTCACGCATAAGTTTGTCATATCCCAACAACCAGTCACTTTTTTCTGGATGAAACTCCAGTTTTTCAACAGAGAAAGGTACAGTAACATTAGTGTAAGTTTCTCCTTCATCTCTAGAAATCCAAATTCTTTTTGACCGGTCAAAATCATCCACAAATATGACCTTCAAAAACCGATAAGAAAGAAGGAGCATTACATTAAGAACAGCGATAAATATCAAAATCCGCTGCATAACTGCCTTTTGACAAGATAAGGTTATTAAAACAATAAGTTGGCAGATATAGCAGATTTTAATGTACCTGGTGTATCTTCAGTAGCATGACTTGAAGTTAGGAAAAACTGGCAACTAATCTCTCAAAACGAAATAACCATGAATCTATTTGAAATTTGCATTGCTGTATGTTGAATTTTTTAGGTCCATGCATGAATAAGTGTAGACTTGAGTTGACTTTACATAAGATCATAGCAAATCTGATCTGTATTTTTTTGAAGTGACAGACCCAACAAACACTGAGATATGGCAAAAAAATAAAGTATCACACCATAATAGTGCATCCTCTCTTTGTTAAGACAGGCTAAATTGGTTTATTCATAATCATAAGATACATAAGATCATAAGATACATAAGATACATGATAAAAAAATATTTTTTTGTGACATGATGATATGCGAGATCAAGTACGGTATTACAAAAGTAATGACTTATGAAAGCTCAATTCATGGGAAAAGTGAAAGAGAACAATGGAATGTGAGCATGACATAAAACATGACCTAAAAGCATGACGAAACACTTAGTTTAATCATGCAGAACGAAAATCTGTCTAATTTGTTCTGCAATATGGCTTTTTTACTTCCAGTTTGCACTATGTGGAAGTCCTGAGCTATAAAAATTCTCTTTTGATAGTGATTAGTGAAATTTCCCACAAATAAAAATTATGATAGAATACTACTATATGCATTCTCACAGAGCAATTTTAACTCACTTTCTTTTTGTCAGTTGGACAGACAAAATAGCTTTTCAAAATCGCACCTTCTGGAAATTGGCTTGTCATAACTTTGTAAGTCTTTCCATAATCAGAAGATCTGAGAAATATAATTTTCTAATTGTCGTGATATATTAATAATAACAGTTTTGAACCAAAGATCAACAATATTATTCGAGTGACATTCCAAGAAATAAAATACTATTCTGAAAGTACTAAAATACGTTTTTATTTCTGTGACTTGGCTTATGAGTTGGAGGTTGCACAAAAGCAAGATCATGATCGATGTATTTATGTATATATTGGCTCAAAGCAGAGTCTTACAGAAACTTAATAAAAGACATTTGGAAAATACTTTTACATGTAATAAAACAGGTTACAGCTACAGGTAAACACTATGAGCCAGGACTTGAAAAGAATTATCTATTATTTGGCATTGTTGTATCATATATTTAGCACGAAGCATTCAATATGAAATAGTCACTGTTGTAATATGGAAGAAATAATATTTTTTATTAACAGTCTCATAGAAAATATTCCAAATCCAAAATCAGCTTGGTTGAATCAAAATAGTGAAAGCAAACCTCCACAATGTGCTGTCTGTTACTTTATTTGTACTAGATCCCGACTTCTTTCGTGTCAAAATGAACACAACCTGAATAATAACAATTGAAGATGAAATAAGTTAAAATATCAAAAGCCATATTAAAAACAATACTCCATGATAGTACGTGCGTGCATGTTCCTATTAACAGTTTTCCTCTGCAACTAAATCAAATATTGAGAACTACTTTTCCTAAATGTGAGTTTTTCATTTTGGCAGCAATTGTCATAATATGTTCAATTGATGCAATACATCATTCAATGGGAAATAATCAACTTCCAATCACTTCCTGTAAATAAACAGATGGAAAATCGGAAATTTTGAATATTCATGTCCATGATACAAATCGTCATCTGGCTTAAATCTCAACAAGCAAAAGTTGTTATCCATAACTTATTTTATATCACACGATTTACAAGTGCTTGGGAAAAGATATTCACATGGATTTCATGAGCCCAAAGCCAAAAAATAAGGATGGTGATGAAATGAGCTTCTCCAGAAACATTCGAGCATATTTATCATCATGGTAGCTGTTCCTTATAATATTGAGCAAAATTGACTCAAGCAGGTGTTTACTAACATTCTAATTCTATAAATACATCTAGATGTGTGGAATCAATAATAGTAAAGATGATCATAATCTTTATTTTTTAACAGACACATCTGACATTATATTACCTTTTTTCAATTTAAAACATTTTCCGCGGTTTCCAAGTTCTAAATATAAAAATGTACCAAGAAACACAAACGACATCAATTATCTCAGAAAAATTGGAATTCAGCAATTTAATAAAGCCTCATTGCTCGACTGATACACTGTTTAATGACAGAGTTTAGCAAACATGAGTGATTTATTCAGTATTTTAAAGAGAGAAGAAGAGTTGCGTCGAGACATTTTTCTCTGATAATTTGGCGCCGCACAAACAAAAAGTTTGAACCGATATATATATTAAGACGATTAGTAGATGTTTAAAATTGGAAATGTAAAGTATTTTATGAACAATGCCTGGCAAAATGAGGCAAGCTACTCGAAACACTGGAATTTATTTGTCAGCGTTTTGATGTGAACGACACTAAATTTTTAGTCACTGTACTTATTAAATGCCTTACGGCATCACGGATTGCATCTGTGGCATTCTGTTCAGCGTAACCTGCTGTTAAAAATCTTGACTGCGGCCCCGAGAGATGTCAAAATTTATAGTTAAAATTGACTTAATGCCAAAAAAAATTTTCAAGAAAACCGACACATGTGATCAACAATTTTAGAAATTCTGTAGACAAACTGTAGATAATTTTTGCTGTCTCTTGTGGCAATAATAGACCAGGAAAGCTGATCATAAAAGCAAAAACGTAAAAAGCAACGGAAAGAAAGAAGAGCACAAATGACAATTATTTTATCTCCTTCGGCTTCTTTCGCATAACTAGAAATCTACTTAAATCAGACTTGAAAATGTCTAAGACAGCTCATTTTATTACTTTTCTCTTATTCTTTCCTTCCGGTAGAAAGCAATATCCTACTACTCAGACATTATACAAACTGAATATATTAGTAAAACAATTCATATGTTGAAGGAATACAAATGAAAGGTAATACTCACTGAACTTTTTTCGCCAGACCAATGAATGAGAGCTTGATTGTGAGTAGTAGCATTTTTCAAATCAAACCTGTGAACTTTTGGACCAGTTGAGGGAGAAGATGAACGACGAGATCGTGAATGAAGTAAACTTTGCCTGATAGAGATGCCCCTTTCTGTATCCAAATTAATCCATTCATTTTTATAGAGCAGTTTTGATGAGTATATACTTCCTTCAGTTGCATAAAATATCCACAATAACAGCAAAGCAGACGTACCAGTTCGATATAAAGTCATTTTAGGCAAACAGCATTTAAAGGGTGTTAAAATTTGTTCTAAATTTAAAAAATCTCTCAATCAGTCTATAGCGATAATTTACATAATTAAGTTTCTTTCTCAAAAACTAGGTTATTCAAGGATCAAAGGCACAAAATAAATCCAAATATGATACGGTATGGCACAGTTCTTAGAATTACCTCACATTGAAAAAATATATCGAATATAACAGTGGGTGCAAACTCCATGAAGCAAAAGTCAGAAAGGAAACTTTAAAACTTCACCATCGGATTCTGTGAAAAAAAAATACCCCGATTTTCAAAAGGAAACAATTTTACAGTAGTATCCGAGTTTTCAGAAAGAAAAAAAAAATTTGGTAATGTGAGGGCCGACGCAAGTCTTGATTCATATTAATTATGATTGAGGCAGGCATGACGCGATCAGACGCATCTGCCGCCATGCAAGACACCCTTGTTTCAGAAATAATAGAGTGTTTGTTTTATTGAATCAAATCTTCGATCATTTGGAATTCAGGAATTGGAAAACTGTGCCCTAATCATCTAATGTAGACTAATAGATCACAATACTGTAATAAGGCATGCTGGCATGGAAGAGGATTAAATTAAAAAGATTATGACCATGTGAAAATGTTAATAAACATGTAACGTTAGCAATTCTATTTAGTGAGAGTGTGCTTCATTCAGTTATTGGAGTATTACAGTCCTACTATCAGTTAAGACTAAAGTCAGAAAGTGAAAACCTATGTCTCTCATTAAAGTATGTAAGTAGACTAATCATCAGTTGGATAAAAACCCTTCTTTGTAAATGTATTTAAAAGTAATAAAATATACAGATACCGCTATACAAAGTAAACAAATTACTTCTATTTATACATAGGAAGAATTCTGGAATTGGAACCAGTGAGTTCTTATAGCTCTATAGAGCAGTGATTCTCAACCTTTTACAATACTGACCGCGTACTTACCGTACCACTTTCAGACTTTACTGTTTTTTACTCTGGCAGCTTACCACCGAAAAAGGCTCTTTTTGGCGCGGGGAACAATGGCACAAGACACGCGATATGGGAGTATTTTATAATGGGGCACTAGACAACATCCTTAGTGATAAAACGTTAATTCGCAATAATGGACAAGAGCGGGCGAGGGCGATCTCTGAAGACTTGACTGGTCCATAAGGACGTTTCTCCGACCCTTGACCCCAGAAATATTCTTTCTATGAACCTTTCATCCCTGAAAAATTCTTCCTATACATTACCATTGCAAACGTTTCGGGGCTTATTTTAAAGTGGTTTCGCGAGTTGGTCCTTGTAAAATAGGGTTTTGGTTTCAAATCATCATTATGATTCATCGCGTACAATAATCTGTTTTTTAGAAGTACCGGTAAGGAATTTTAGCCTAGTCTATCACAGCTATTACTATGCCAATTTTTTATTACTGCGATTAAATTTAAAAAAAGACATAGTGATCATTACATTATAGCGTACAAAATTTGGAGCCCAGTCGACGCGACCGGTGTCACAGCACTTATCAACTTATCGGCAGGATATTTTGATTCATTTGCGTCGAAAAATGTAAAATATTTACTAGGTGATCTAGCGACGATATCATGTCTTCCATGTTCTCGTTGATAAAACTTAATTGTAATTTTAATGATATCAAACAGTGAAAAATTAGCCTTCATGTTTCCGGCAGAACCCTATAAAGACGCGGGGTTTAAATTTTTTGGTTTGGCCATTTAGTTACGTCCCATAATCAGATACCAAACGTAATATAACATGGCGCTTGTTTTTTAGGAAATGTTATATATGTTTAATCAATCGTTACTTAACTCTTTTTCGGTCTTGCACACATGATAAAAATTTATAATTTCACTCAGTATTTATGCCACCCATCCAGAAAAGCCATCGTATTTTAGTAATCGTATTTAGTAGAAACTATATTTCGCGCCAATATTAATGCCTTCCATAATAATATATGTTCGCCAAGTTACTTTTGTGACAGATAAAGTTGACTGCTTGAAATATAATTTCCCATCTTGCCACAATGTCGCTTTTAAAATTTTGCAACGTTTTCTTAATATAAGGTTAAATATTCACGTAAAAGAGGTGGCAAATAAAATTATTGAAAAACAGTAGCCTATGCTAGTAAAACTGCAGCAATAGCTCAAGTCACATAGATAATATATATTATTTTATACACTCCAGATTATTAGATGTTCTTGTAAACTTGATATAGACCGTTATCCTCCATTCCATGCATGTAGTATATTGAAAAACATCGTGTTGAAAATTTTATCATGTACAAATAGTTGCAAGTTTCCGTAGTGTAATTTGTATTGTAGTTCTGTCAGGTTGTTAAAATAAGTTCTGTACAATTAGCGATACTAACGTCAGGAACTTTTAATAAAATGTGTATCTCTTTGTTTAATATTTTTGGTTTTATTGGGTGTTGATTTATGGAGTTAAATTGAATGAGCTTAACCTTAACTTCGTATATGCTGACCATACCGCAGAGCCGAGTTATCTGAGAAATATTTGCGGAAATTAATTTTTCAGAAGAATGTTTATTCGTTTTGCTGCTGTGAAAGTTTGGTCCGAATTATTAGGCATCGTTTTTTTTAATTCAACTGCTTAACGATTGCAGGTTTAAACCACTTAGTTATGATCAAAGTGACTATAAAGCTATAGTCACTTTGGTTGTGATCATACAACGATAGAACTCTGGACACAAAATGGCGGGTGTGCCATATATTTCATATCTCGAACACAAAAACGGTTATCTTTTTTGGATAGTTTCTGCGGTCTGCAAAGTCGAATAAGCGTTTCGACATAGTAAATGCTAAGATCTTTGCCATCAAATTTTGCTCGGGCATTCATAACGTGAATTCATAACGTGAAAAGATACGTCCAACGGTGAAAATTGTTTATAACATGTTTAAACCTACTTAGTGTTTTTATCAATAATAATTAATTGTTGTAATGAAATACAACAATCTTTCATTTCTCTCACAAGTGCCAACAATAAATTGTAACAAAAATAAAGCAGGTTGTGAAAAAGTGAGAATACATGTGATAATAATAAGGGCGTATCGTGAAACGGCGAGCAAAACCGAAGCACGTGATCAGCGGTGCGTTTGATGACAACGTATCACCCGTGCGGCGGAGCAACTTTTACAGTAATGCGAAGTGCTCCGAATACGCTCCCGTTTACATTAATGTAAGAAAACAGTTGTAATATTGGTAACTATTAACCATTTCTTCGCGTTCGACTATCGCACTCTTTATGAGTAGAAAATGTTCGTGTTTTCGACTTGAAAGGTACGGATCGATAAAAACGATCTAACCCACATAAAAGATCGACCACGTGTTCCAATATTATACAGTTTGTATAAGAGGCCACAACGCCAGACCATGTCGTAAGCCTATTCTATATCGAGAAACACGGCTGAAACAGATCTTTTATTTGCCAAAGCTTTATAGATATCATCATGTATTTAAAGGATATTATCGGTCGTTGAGCGATGATTTCTAAATCCAGATTGCTTCGTAGTTATCAAACTAAACTTTTCAAGATACCATTTGAGGTGCAATTAGTCGTTCCATTACCTTACATAAGTTGGACGTCAACGAAATGGTCTGAATGATGATATAAGATCTGGTTTGGTTTGTTAAATTTTAATATGGGAACTACGATGGAGTGGCGCCATGAGCCGGTAATTGACCTTTTACCCAAATAAGATTAAAAAGTTGTAGGAGTTATATTTTGCATTTTTGGGGCAAGTGTCTGAGCATAAGACAACGTATTTTATCATATCCGGGAGATGTGTTCTTTCTAGGTCGCAAAACGTTGTCTAGTTCCCATTCCGAAAAGGGAACATCTAGAACAGGGTGGCCCAAACCCAGGCCCGCGGGCCACATGTGGCTCGCCGCTCTATTATCTGTGGCCCGCACCGCATTCGGAGAGTAATCAAAACATTTTATTTTTAAATTGCTTCTCATAAAATAAATCAGAAAAATTGTTTGAAATCTTGTTGTTATATCACTACTGTGACTGAATGGACTAGTATGATGGCTAGCTAAAGCAACTAGCGAGTGAAGATGTGATGGGCAGTCTAAATTCTTACCTGGCTTTTTTTCGTTTTGGTCGGGATTATTTGCTAACAATATAGGCATGATAGAAAACAATACATCGGATGCGGATTTCCTTCCATTAGCCTAGGTTGGCAATGCCTGATAACTATGTGTTCACACAATAGAGGTGCTTGTTTTGAATTGCATTGTTTACCTATTCTGGGTACTATTGTGGCCCGCGACCAATGCCGAAATAATTTTGTGGCCCGCGGAGCCCACAACCTTGGACCACCCTGATCTAGAATGCCGTCTGTATCTTCAACTTCAATTTGACAAGTTTTTTAAAACTGTAACTTTCTGATTAAAAAGTTCCTGGAATAGTTATCGGATGAGCTGACTGATGTAAAATAACGTCCAAATGCATTGACTTTTTCGGAATCATCAACTGTATATATGCTCATTGCATCAACTAAAGTACAATTACTATCAACTATTGCTGGTATTTTAAATTGATTGTCACCTATATTAGACATTGCACGAATTGTTCTCCATAGTTGCGTAACGTTTGAGTTTTTGCTGAGACAACTACAATAGTTTTGCCAACAGGTCTTTTTTGCCTCTAATATTCCCCGACGTGCATTTGCTCTGCAACGTTTAAAATTAATTATATCGATAGGTGACATGGATGGTTTCATCCTGTTGTAAGGGCTTTAGTCCGGCAGATAAGGGGACCTTTTTGGCCCAAGTTTGATTTCAGACATTTAGATTTTTATTTGTGATTATTCATCTTGGGGTCGTTGCCCATCATTTCTACACGGGTGTGGAGTTTGCAGCCTTGAGCAATTTTTTTTACGGCTTGATATTTGTATCAGTGTTATTCGTCAAACCTGTGCATCATAATGACGCACAACCTGAAACATAACCTTTTACAATACTATGTTCAGGTTGTGCGCAATCTTGATGCACAAACTACGCAAGCACCAAATTTA